AACATCATGGCAGAAGAGTATGGCAAAGGGAAGCAGCTCACATGATGATCAGGCAGCAGAAACAGAGGCTTCACTTGCCAGATACAAATATATTCCTCCAACCCACACCCCCAATGCCTTACCTCCTCCAACCACACCCCACCTGCCTTCAGTTACCACTCAATTAACCAGCAGGTGGTTAATTCACTGAGCAGGTTTAGGCTTTTGTAACCCAATCATTTCCTCTCTGAATCTTCTTGCATTGCCTCATGCATGAGCATTTGGGGTACACACACATCCAAGCCATAACATCTTTGTAGTATACTATTTGTATTGTATTGTACAAATAATGTACTGTATATATTTATATTGTATTTGTCATGTATCATGTAGTAATGACATTAGAGCATGCCACAAAATGATTTATGCAGCACCTGACACCAGAATAATCTAAATAACCTCTAAAACTCTTTGTTTAACATTGCTGCTTGTAACTATTTAAAAACCAGAACATTATCTCCAGAAGGCACTGATTTCTAAGTCTCTATGATTAAAGAATGCCTATGAGCTTTTGGTTTTTCCCTTTAACACGAGTTTAGTAAATCCCTGTGAAGTGTGATAGGCACTGTTCTAAATGCTGAGGATTCATGGTTATCAAGATAAACAAGGCTGATGTTTTTATGTAAGCTCCAAAACATCAGATAATAAGAGATAATTATTAGGAACAAAATTAAAACACCTACATCAACCATGAAGATAATTCTACCCTTCAGTATTCTGGCAGAATCTTATTCAAATTTTGTTGCTTGAATCACTAATGATTGAATAAATATCTCAGTGATTTTGCCCTAATTTTAAAAAAATGAATTTACTATTTCTTCCTATCTCAAACAGTATAAGCCCTTCCAGGACTCTAAGAATGACAAAAATGTTTTATAGTTTTTTCTATAGGATAATTAGAAAAACAATCAAACTACAAAAGTAGAAACTTAGTAGAATGAAAATGATCCTATACTCCATAGAAAGATTAACTAGGTAAGCCTAAAAAACAATTGTACTAGCCATAACAAAATTCCAAAGGTATATTTGGACCATCAATTTCTAAGCGCCAGTAGTTATAAGCCATTTATCCCACTGGTGACAGAAAGTTCCCAAAAGGCTTTTTTTTTTTTTTTTGCAAGTATGACATCATGATCAGAATTGCATCTTGGAAAACATTCAATTTTAGAATGGGTTGGTGGCAGTGTGGAAACAGATTAAAAAGGGACAAGACTAGAGACATGGGGACCAGTTAATGATAAGAGATGATGGTAGGAAGGGTGGCAAAGCAGAATCTGTGGAAATTGGCAACCACCTGGAAGAATAGCATGAGGAGAAAGTGGTATGGACAGTCTCTGCACACCCCAGACTGTTAGGTTATAGTCTGTTGCTTCCGACAATGGAGATCAGTGTGTGGGGAAAAGAACTCGGACATTTTGCATTTATCTTTGTATTTCTTGTATTTTTTATTCAAAGGACATGTATTCCTACTGTATTTTTTGAGGGGGTATTTAATTTAAGGAAACCAGTAGCTGTATGACAATAACTAGATACAACCTCCGAATTTTCAAATGTTTTCTTTCTTAGTAGTCTAACTCTATAGGTCAGACATCATTTAAATAAATGCTCATAGAAGAACTGAAAAAAATTAATTGTACTAATTTTGTGTTGGCCTTTTATGCTGGCTACTATGAAAAACATCCATACATATAACTAAATTTTTCAATAAAACATTTAGAGGCTGGATATGTAGTTTAGCAGTACAGTGCTTGCCTCGCATGTGTGAAGCACTGTGTTTGATCTCCAACAACACACATACACACACACACACACACGCATTATATTCCAGTATACATATTAACTTCAAATATTTGCTACTATGAGGTTAAAGAAAATGTATTATAATGCTAACTTACATTAAGTATTAATATACAAACATATTTGTCTTTGTACCTTAATAAGATGGTATTGAAATGAATTCTAAATTATTTTTTCATTAGTAGTGATTATTTAGTGTTCTTTTAGCTACACATTTTTTATCTAGTTCCTTTAGCATATATTTAGGCGATAAATTGAATGAGAAAGGAAAATTATCTGTATTATATCACTAAAAAGAGGCTTAAAGCTCCCCATAGAGACTGCCAAGTGCTAGGCAATTTTTTTTATATGAAAAAAACTAGATGAAAGCACTTTCATACAGGGAAGTTTTATAACACACACACTCTTAGTGGTTGAGACAATATATGAATAAAAATGCATACTTAAAACAATTAGCACTTCATAAACTAAAACAAATAATAAAATACAATTTATTATTTGGCATCCTATTCACTAGGATACTCTCAATAATTACTTGTTAAGTACAGTGCTACAATAATTAACTTTTCTAATGACAACCCTAAGATATAACGAAAATCCTAAAATGCTTTCTAAATCATTTTTAGAAGATTTTATTTATACATATTTATACATTGGCCTGTATTAATCGATATTCTGAATAGTGGTAATTCATTGTTTATATTAGAATTTGTTACTTATAAACTTTCTCCAACCAGTCACACCTCACCCTTATTGTGAAAATAGGGGTCAAGGATTAATGAATTTTAAATAAACTTTTAAAATGCATTATATAAATTCAGAATAAGGGGTGAAGATAATTTAGGTGTTCCTAAATATATGTTTCAACAACACCTTTTTTTTTTTTTGCAACATCTTTTGAAAAATAAGATACTTTATTGTGGAAAAAAAAGCCTGCTTTAAAAAATTACTTTTACCTTTGCTGTAATATTAATTTAAATAGCTTTTTGTTTTGACCTACTTACATGTGAAAAACTATAGAAAAAATAAATTATTTCTGCATAAACCAGTACTTTCCAGTTTGAAAGATCTAACACTAGATATTTAAGAAATACTTTCTGCTTAATGGGGAAAAACTCTTAGATTTCTTAGATCAACTGCCACATTGAACAGCTCAGGAATATCTAGTTAGCAGCTAATAATTTTCATCATGTCCACAGAATACTCTGTGTTAATTCAGCTTTTACAGGCCCATGTGGATTATGTTTAAAAGATCTATTTTTAATTGAGGTCTGTTGGGTTATCAGATGTCTCTGTAAGTTGAAAGTTCCATAGGACTGAACATGACTATTTGAAAAGCACTGTGACACACTGTTAAAAGACAATATAAAATGTACAGAAATGGAATTCAGCCTGGGCTGAATTTTCTCACAAATGTGGTGTACTTTTATACATGTACTTTTATACATCCTGTTTTCCCATAGTCTTCTGGTGCTTGTGTGCTTGATTATTGAGTACTATGTTTTCATGAAAATATAGTTCATCTATATTGTAAATGTTTCTCAGATGGAGGCATGAGAATATATTCTCAAGGGCTCTAGAGTTCTGAGAATTTACAATTTTTCATTTAACTGAATGCTTTAATTTCAATAATAATCTTTAAAAGTTAATACAGTATGCTACTTGATTTCCATGCAGTTCTCCAACATTAATGAAAACAAAACCAGAGACAGAGTTAATAAATAAATGATGGGTTTGCAATAAGAGAATGTCTAATAGCATCACAGGATACTGCAAGAGTGGATGTCTCCCTGTAGTTCAATAAATCTCTTTCCTGCTTAAGTTAGCCAGAATTTGTTTCAGTTGTTTGAAACAAAGAACCTAACTAGGACATTGTCTGGTACCATCTAATGTTTCTCTTTAAACATAATGCTAGCAGCCATTGATTCAAATGATTCTAAATTCATCTAAAAATACTTTTATACATCCTGTTTTCCCATGCATATGGAATCAAACTACACCTAACTTTGGTACCTTATTCACTTAAAAATTATTTTAGAGAACATTCCATATTAAACATAGCATCTAATGCACTATCTGTAATGAGTATATAATACTGCATCATATGGGTGTACCATAATTTATTCAACTGGTTTCTGACTGATAGGAATTTAGGATGTCTCAAGTCTTTTTCACAACTAAAATACTTCAAGAATATCTTAGTACCTATGTTTGTGTGCTTATGTGAACTTCCACTAATAAGATAAGTCCTCACTGATGAAATTCATAGCTCTCTGCCAATTTCTCTTAAGGAAACTACTGGCCAATTTACACTGTTTCTAGTAATCTATGTCAGTTTCTGCTACTCTGTCCAATCTAATGAATTTATTAATCTAGATCTTTCTCTGGATGATTTGTAAAAACTATGTGTTAGAATTCTTTACACTTCTCTGACATATATAAAAAGGATTCTTTTACCAGAAACTTCCCATTTTTATGTATTCAAATGTATCGAAATTTCCTTTATAGTTTCTGTACTAAGGAGAAAAATATATTTGCTATATTTAAATACCATCCCAGGTTTATTTATGCATTTACTATTTGATGTTCAAGTCTTTAGTTCAACTGGAATTTATTTTGGAGAAGGAAAAAGGAAGCTGTCAGTATTGTTTTACCTGCACAGTTAAATGGCCATTCTAACATCAGTTATTAAACTTTTGTCCCAGTGATTTGCAATGCCAGCTTTTTCCTATACATGATAGATTTGGGTTTATTTTTAAACTTTCTATTGACCAGTCTATTAAAAACATAGTACCAAAACTGTTAAAATATATCTAACTTTATAATACATTTTAGTAGTTAATATGTGGTCCAACTAATTTTATATGAAAAAGATTTCTGAAATTATGATGAAATTCAAAGAGAAACTATTTAATCTACTCATAAAATTTTGTGAATTTATAACATAATAAAAAGATGAAAACATTTACTAAACTTTTCTGTGGAATAGGATGTTAAATAAATGAAGGCTCATCATGGAGTTTCAGCTAATGCAGGAGTCTGTGCACTTAAATACTATTTTCATTCTCTCGGTCTCTTTCTCTCACACTGTCTTTCTATAGTCAATTTTCATGCCCTTTCTGTCTTACATGCATACTCTATATTGCTAAACTAATAATACTTACCTGTTTGATTTCTTTAACAGCCAGAGTAACTGAGAACAAGATTGCCTAACTAATGCTGCTCGGACAGGGAATGTCACAGGCTGATTTAGTTCTTTGCATATATATTCCATCTCCTTCACCATTGTCCAACTATACCCTGAAAGGAAAAGAAATTTAAGTTTTTGATTGGAATCTTGTGAGTTGATTAATAAAAAACTAAATTACCTATTAATAGGTAAATCCATAGATAATCTATAGGTAAACTCATAGATAATTCATAAAAATTTCCATTTGGAGTTGGAGTGAATTAAAAAACATATAACACAAGAAAAAAAAATTTTTCCCTGCAGTGCTGGGGATTGAACCCTGGTCCCAGTGCATGCCAGGCAAACACTTTACTACCTACTGAGCTATATCCCCAGCCCAAGGAAATGTTTTAAGTGGGAAATGTAGATAAAAATCATGCCATAAATACCCTAGAGCAAATTCAACAGAAAAAAATTAAAACATTAAGAAGATTTTACTGTGGCTGGGGGTACAGCTCAGTGATAGAGCATGAGCTTAGCATGTACAAGGCCCTGGAGTCAACCCCAGCACCAAAAAACAAAACAAAAACCCAAGAAGGTTTTACTAATCTCTCAAGTGTTAAAAAAAAAAAAAAGCAAAATTTTAAAATTAATTAATTAATTAATTAATTAGTTCTAATCAGTTATACATGACAGCAGAATACTCTTCAATTCAGTGTACACTAATGGAGCATAATTTTTCACTTCTCTGGTTGTACACAGGATCACACCATTCATGCAATCATACATGTACCTAGGGTAATGATGTCTGTCTCATTCTACCAACTTTCCTATCCCCATGCCTGCTCTGCTCCCCTCCCTCCCCTTTGGCCAATCCAAAGTTCCTCCACTAACCCCATCTCCATTATGGATTAGCATCCACTTATCAGAGAAAACATTCGGCCTTTGGTTTTTCGGAATTGGCCTACTTCACTTAGCATGATATTCTCTAACTCTAACCATTTACCTGCAAATGCCATAATTTTATTCTCTAAAAAACACAAATTTGACACTATTTTTACTTACTTTAAAGGTTCTAAGGCTTTTCTCTTAGATATATCTATATCATTGATATTCATTAATATTCTCTACAAACTGAGATTTTCTAGTTGTATTTTCTTTCTCAAAATAAGGTGGTAGGTATTTTCTAGCTGTTAAAGTGATAATTCAAATCCATTTTATTTTTGGCTATTCCAAATTATTTGTACATTTTAACTAAAGTAGAAATAGTGCCAGGCACAGTGCCTGTAATCCCAGTAGCTCAGGAGGCTGAGGCAGGAGGATCATGCATTCAAAGCCAGTCTGCACAACTTAACAAGGCCCTAAGCAACTTAGCAAGACCCTGTATCTAAAATATTTTAAAAGAAGGGGCTGGGGATGTGGCTCAGTGGTTAAGCGCCCCTGGGTTCAATCTCTGGTACCAAAAAAAAAAAAAAAAGAAAGAAAGAAAAAGAAAAAGAAAAGAAATATTGGAAAATTTGATCATGTTAGGACATGTTAACATACTTGCCTGTTTATAAACAACATCAGAAAAATATTTTTAAAAATTACCCTCAACTCAAAAGTAGGTTGTAAAAAGTACTGTAAGTTAAATTCAGTATAGAAATCCTAAGTCAATATGTTGGTTTGGCAGTTAAATTCCTGATAAATAGAAATGTTTTTAGAAAATAATATTTTATCATTAGAAGAAGAGACTGCTAACAGAAGCTATGCCTTTGTGATTATAAACCTATGACCTCTCTTTTTTAAAAAACTATGCAACATAAGAAGTAAGGGAGGATAAAGCCCGAGTTGGCAATGATGAGAAGCTAGGAAGGGAAAAGTAGCCTGGAGACATCCAGAGACCCACATGTGGCTGAATTCAGTTCAGCCTGAGGCTAAGACTAGAGTTAGACTAAACAGTGAAATGGAGTTTAGAACCAGTACAGCAGTATCAGATAGTTTCTAGTTTATCATCCTCAAACATTTTAAATTATAGGCTATATACTTTAATTAATCTAATAAAGATTAAATTATTAGAAAATTAAAGTGGAATTAGGTTAAAGTATATGATTTTTTCTCTTGATTATACCAATTGTTGGTTATTAGCTAAATGTTACTACTCACTGTAACATTTAGTAGTTACTCTAAATTTGTAATGGATGTAAAACTTTACATCTGGGGCTGGGGTTGTAACTCAGTGGTAGATCACTTGTCTAGTATGTGCAAAACCCTCGATTCCATTCTCAGCATAGTGGAAAAGGAAAAAGCACGTGAATAGAAACTGAACACCCTGAAATCCACAGGACAATCTTGATAATTTCTAATGTCTTTTTAGTTGATGATTTTATATTTACCATGTGGGTAAGATGGCCCAGAGAGTTTCTTACTGGCTGATTACCTAGAAATCACTACATAGGATGTGTGAAGAAATAGATAAACCCAATAGTGTAATAAGTTACAACCAGGAACAAACTGAATGTGAGGTCCACCTGTAGAAAGACAAGAATAAAAAGAAGGGATCCAGCCTACAGAATGTCTTCTGGCTTCCCACTCTCCTGTCAGCCACAAAGAACATAATAAGGGCCATGTCCAATGACTTGGGAGCAGAACTTGTGCTCTTTTGGTTTCATATCATTTGAAACATTTGAAATTTTTAACCACTTTTTGTTTCATATCATTTGAAAAGCTTTTGACATCTGACATATAGAGTTTGCTCTAAGGAAGATGGGGGTGTCTAAAACAGTTAACAAGTTGAAAGAGACCAACTCGGGACTTGTTCAAAGAATTTAAAGAGGCAACTTTGGTTATTCTGGACTTTGCAAATAAATATTTGCCACGGAAGTTCTGTGATAAGATACTACCATACACACAGTATCTATCTAAAATAACAGAAGGGTCATACACATACCTGTTGGGTCAGGTCTTTCTCTCCATTAAGCTCTTACATTTTATGGGATGATTTTTTTTTTTACTTTATATTAAAGATGTTATTTTTATAATTGAAGGATATTTTAATTTGACCAACAAAAATAAATTATTAGCATTATCACCTTCATTGACCTTCTCAGGATGCCATCCTGTTGTCCAACCCAAGGAAAATGTCACATCTGGAAAGAAGGATGTCACGGTGTCTATAAATGGTTTTGCATCTACTACTTTGTTACTTCCATTTGGACCAGGGAGAATATCAGCATTAATCCATACGGGACACTTTAGGTGCCTCTTCACATTTTCTAAGAGTATCATGGATGGTTTCACAGCTGCCAGACTAAAAACATAGTTTGGTATCAATGAGAAATATTTCTAGAGAAAAAAGAAGTTCTTTTAGACTAATGGTTTTAAAGTTCTTGAATTTGTAATAAAAATGTAATACAATAATACCTGAATTAAATAAAATAAAAGATCACACACACACAGAAGAGAAAGATAAGGTATCTCAAAATGTTGATTTATACTTATTATTCATGAAAGGAACTTAAAGGTTCTATCAGTACATAAATAATTCCACTACTTATGGACCAAATAGGGGTTCAAAGCTCTCCATATTAGAATCACTAAGTGTGAAACAATATAAGACATAAATATTCACTCATCAGACAATGTATAAATAAGACAATAAATGTGAAATGTACTCATAACCTACACATACACAGTCATGAAATACCAAGTGTGTCCAGGCACTATATCTCCAGTACCAGATCAAGACCTTAAAGGAAAAAAAGAAATATTTTTTTTTCCCTTATGTATTCTTTGGGTGAATTTGGAGACATAAACACATTTCTAAAAATAACTAGTAAGCAAAAAAATTATATTTCCTTAAAGCGTTTATGAGTTCCACATTTATTTTTCTTTTACTGTAAGCACCTATTCTATAAACTAGAGACAAGGATATTTTAGTTAAATTGAAAGGCTGCTTCTTTTTTTTTTTTTCTTTTCTCCCTACATCTACTGTAGCTGACACCTATGTACTTTAAAACAATAAGGTTTTAATGAGCCAACATCACTTTTACTTTTTAAAATTATACACATAATCTACTAGAAAACCTCACTACTTCTAATTCTATCTTCTGACCTTTAAGATTAAACCTTTAGAAATGCTCATTTCCAAGAAAGTTAACTGCTGCTTGTCAAGGTGGGTGCCGGAGAGAAAACTCAGCAACACTCTCCACACTTCTACCTCGTCTTAGGGGAGGACACTTCCATCTGTGCTTCTATCTTTCTTCTCTCCACTCCTTTTGTGCCTCCTACCTTAAGAGGAAAAATTAATATTTTCAGTAAGTTGGGAAATAAACCAGAGAAGCCAGGCTCTAGCATTTAGCTTCTGGTCTCTCACTCCTCTTCTCCCACATAACAGCAGAGTGAAAGAGATTCAAGTCTTCTCACTCTTCTGCTCCTGAAATGAAGGCCCTAGATTTTAATGGCTCAAGAAGCCCTAATGTTTGGCTTTGTAGATTCTAATTTAAATGCTCTCATTTCTCTGCTTTAAATTCTTCCTGTCTTGTACTGTATCAATGCCATGCTAAAACCACAAATCTAAAATTCATATGAAACAACAGAAGACCCAGAATAGCCAAAGTAATGCTGAGCAAAAAGAATAAAGCTAGAGGCACCATAAGACCCAACTTCAAAACATACTACTAAGGTGGGCTGAGGATGTGGCGCAGTGGTAGAGTGCTTGCCTGGTATGTGTGAGGCCCTAGGTTTGATCCTCAGCACTGCAAAAACAAAAACAGAAAACAACAACAACAAAACATACCACATCGCTATAGAAATCAAAATAGCATGGTACTGAATATCTTATCCTACTTTCCTACGAGTTTCATATAGACATTGGGGATGACAAAACATAAACTATACTTGATATTATAATAAGTAACTTCAAATTACATTTTAAAGGAAAATAATTCTTTGCTTAAACTCTGGAGTTGGCTAAAACTCCAAATAAAATTTAAAAACTACCATATGTTTTATTATTTTTATACTAAAACATGTAACCTAGAAGCATAAAATAAGAACTACTAAACATTGACTAAAATATCATTCAGCTCCTCTCACACAGGTAGTGCAGCAATCTGGTTAGGGGCATGAACTCTCCAATCGGGGTGACAGCTTTTTTTACCAACAATGTGACCTCTGGCAGGCTACTTATCCCTTCGGTCTCCATTGCCTCATCTGGAAAATGAGAATAGCAGCAACGATCTACCTCTTAGGATTGTTACGAGGATTAAATGAAAAATACATGTAATGCTCTTAGAACAGTGTCTGATGCATAATAAGTGTTCTTATAACCATTAATTTGCATTCATTCCCCTTCAAATGTTATGGAAAAAATCCCTGTAAAATTTCAGTTTTCAGAGGCCCAGTTCTTTTGTGGTAGCTGCTAGCATTTAAGAATAAACAGTGGGGGACTGGGATGTAGCCCAGTTGGTAGAGTGCTTGCCTTGCGCGCACAAGGCCCTGGGTTCAATCCCCAGCACCCCACCCCCACATACACACACAAAGGAATAAACAGGGGCTGGGGTTGTAGCTTAGTGGTAGACTGCTTGTCTAGTGGGTTTGTGTCTCAGCACCACATAAAAATAAAGAAATAAATATAATAAAGGTTTTATGTCCATCTAAAACTTAAAAAAAAATTAAAGAATAAATAGGCTAATATATAGGGAGCCAAAGAATAGATCACAGTCAATAATCCAAGGGGCAAGAGTAGATATACAAAAAAATTGAGCACATGAAAAGGCAAGGCATTCTAAAACTTTAAACTGCCAAGTATCAACGATCAGATGCTTTATCATAGTGCATAGAATGCCTAGGATCTGGTGCTACTTCAGCTGCCAAAGCTTAGCTGTCATCCTTAGGTAAATCACCTAATCTCTCTGGGACTAAGTCTCTTTGTCCATAAAACAGAGCTGAACCAGTCATCACTCGAAAAGCCTGATGATTTTAAGATAGCTCTTTAACTCTTTAACCTAGTCAATTAAAACCCCTGTATGTCAAGATTCTGTATATTTATTTGTTTACCAACATAATAATGAGGCTTATTGGTATAGTCAGCCCTATAACAAATGGTTAGTCACTTTAAAAATCCCATAAAATCTCCAAATAATTATTTTTGGGGGCAGAGAGGATAACTCAATTTTAAAATATGACTCAGAGATGAGACAGGTTTACTGCCAACCCTGGATTTCAATAGCAGCAGCCTTCATAGGGCTTATGGTGCGCTTTTCTGGTGTCACAGTTTATTCCTGGTTTTACCTATAATTTTTACACACCAAAATACTTAAAAGCAAAATTTCCTATGATGTGCACATAGAAGAAATGACATTTAGCCTCATTCTTCATTATCAATGTCTCCAAAATAGTATTTTTAAGCAATTCTTTGGTTACTGAAAAGTTCCAAATTATTCCCTTTACAAATGTAACAACATAAATCAAACTGAATACACATTAAAAAAAAAAAAAACCTCTCCGAACCTTTCCTTCCAAGACTACTTATTAACAAAAGAACTTTAGATTTAGCATTCTGTTATCAGAATGATCATGCATGATAAATCCCCTTATAAAAATTAGCTTTAGCCTCAAAGAAACAATTATAGCAAACAGCTCAGTAGGTTTTAGGTCCACTCTGAAACATACTAGAGTCCATAAATCCATTTTCATTTTGGAAAAGATACAAAAGTAGATAGTCAGACATATGTGTGGCTATTAATTTTCCCCCCAAGTTACTCTATAACAGCCAGTAGCATGTTTGTACAAATACCTCTTGAAATCCAGCTTGATGCCTTTATTGCTCTTCACGACCTCAGTGAGCCACTCCTGTAGAGTATTATCACTGTTTGTTTCAGGGGGATGGGCCATGACTGGTTGTGCATGCTCTGATCCATTACTTGGAAGAATGACATCGGCCTCTATCATATGAGCATTACCTGTCCAAATAAAAGAACTTAATGCTGAAAAACTGCAGAACTGCAGGAGATGCCATGTCCCTCTTAAAGAAGATAAAAGGAAGGAAAGAAAACTAACACTGAGTAACTACTACATGTCAGGTACTGTACTTAATCCTTATTTGTTACAGATGAGCAAACATGCCAAGAAGCTAAATGAATTTACCTTAAACTATTGTTCTACTTTTGAATTTTTCCAAGTAAATAAAAGTATTGTGTCCATCTACAACTAAAAATATTTTTTAAAAAAACCACACAAGATGACTATCTTTAAAAAACTTTTTTAGTTATAGATGGACACAATAACTTTATTTTTATTTGTATGCAGTGCTGAGGATTAAACCCAGTGCCTCACACACGCTAGGCAAGTGCTCTACGACTGAGCTACAATCCCAGTCCAAGATGGCTGTTTTTAAAAACGCACAGTAACAAACGTTGGCAAAGATGTGGAAAGATTAGAATCCTTATCTACACAACAGTAGGAATATAAAAGATATAGCCATTTTAAAAATGTATGGCAGTTCCTTAAAAAATCAAACATACTATGACTCAGCAATTCTACTCTATAGACACATAATGCAAGAAAACTGCAAATATATGTCCACAAAAAAATTGTACATGAATGTTCACAGCAGTAGTAAAAGTATCAAAAAATCAGAAACTGAAATATTTATCAACTGATGAATGGATAAACACACTGCTATATACATACAATGAAATGATACAATCATAAATAGACATGAAATAACAATAGACCTTAGAACATAAATGAACTTTAAAAATATGCTAAATAAAAGAAATTGGACACAGAAGTTCACATGTGAAGGAAGAGTACAGGAAGCTACCCTGAATTGTGATTCTGAGTTCAGGAAAAGTCTTCATAAAGCAACAGGCAATTTAATTGATACCAAAGGATGTTTAAGAGGCTAGCCAGGCAAAGTGTGGGAAGAGAGCATTCCAGAAAGAATGTATATGGCAGTCAGAGGAGGAGAAGAGCTGGGCCATGAGAGGACTGTAAGGCTGTTACAGACACAAACTAAGCATACTGGGACAGGAGAACTTGAAAAAACAGGCCAGTTTGCACAGGGCCTTCAGGCTACAGAGGCGGTTTGAAGGCTCAACAAACAGCATTTCATTTTCTGAAAAAATTCTGAGAAATAAGGTAGCCAAATTAGTAGATGGGGTTCAAAATATTACTTATATTACCTATAAAGCTAGGTCAGTGGGTACAGCTTAATTGAGAGATAATTTCTAACTTCCACCATCATCCCCAAATCCAATTTCTGGAACAGTCCTTTTGAAGAAAGTTCTAGCAAACACAAATGTCCAGACAGCTGTTTCTCACTGTTCAGGTGGAAGCAGAGAGAAGAATGCTCTCCTTTGTCCAATGAATTTGCTAGATTAGGACTAAAAAAATTTGGTTAGATATCAAAAAAAGGTATTGAATTAACGTACTCTTTAAAGCAAACATCAGAAACTGGACTGACTTACTTTTCAATGCCTCATTCATCTGTGCCTTGTGGTTAGCTGCATGATACCAGATGATCTCAGCGCCATCTTCTGTTGTAATCCGGTTATTTCTCAGAAAATATTCCAGTATATTTTCACTCCAAGATCCTAAAATGACAGTATTTACATGAAAAAGAATGTTTCTTTAATGGGTAAAATTTTAAAATGTTTTATTATGTATAATAAGATAGATCATATAGATACATGTTGATAGTAAAAATCTTGCTGAGGCAAATTAACATTATCAGTCACCTGATACAGTTACCTATTTTTAAAGTTTTTGTGGCAAGATAGCTAAAATCTCTATTCACTGAGCATAAATCACATATACACTCTAATATCACATATACCCACATGTTGAACATGAAATCTCTATATTTGTTCATCCAATGTATTTGCCACTTTGTATCCTCTGACCTACATCTCATCATTCCTCCTTTGAGTAACCACACTTTTATTCTCCATCTTTGTATATTTCAAATTTTAAATTTTAGATTCCACATATGAATGAAGTCACGAGTTTTTTTCTTTCTGTGTCTGGCTTATTTCACTTAGCATAATAATGTCCTTCAAGTTCATCCATGTTGTGGTGAATAGCAAATCTCATTCTTTTTAGAGCTGAATAATATTACATTGAATGTATGTGTGTGCGCGCACGCGCGTGTGCACGTGCACGTAGGCACATGTACCCAATGCATGCTCATGCATATGGACATAGCATATCTTCTTTATTTAAAATATTTATTTTTTTATAGTTGTAGTTGGACACATACCTTTATTTTATTTATTTATTTATATGTGGTGCTGAGGATTGAACCCAGGGCCTTGCATGTACAAGGCGAGTGCTCCACCACTGAGCCATAACCCCAGCCCATAGCATATCTTCTTGATTCATTTGTCTGCCTTTAGACATCCAAGTTATTTCCACAACTTGGGTATTGTAAATAATGTTCATAGAGATATCTTTAAGAGGTAGTGATTTTATTTTATTTGGGTATATGCCCAGAAAAGGGATGGCTGGGTGATAGGATAAAAAAATTAATAAAAATGAACAGAAGACTTATCCAGAGAGGATAACAAAGTAATTAGCCTGAGGAAAATACAAGATTAAAAAAACAAAGAATACTTATGATGTGACAGGTATATTACACATACGAGTAATATAACTAGTAGATATATAGGATGGTCTGAACACCAGAAGCATAAAAAATGTAGAAAAAAAAATAAAACCAGTAAAAAGCAGAAATTTAAGAGCAGAATATTTTACAATGTCCTCTAATGATTGTGACCCTAATTTATGTAAAGCGAAAGCTATAACTAAAACTTTTAAGTTTTGTGCAATTTAATTGTTTTCTCTACCTGAAGTCTTACTGTCTATTGACAATTTATAATTCAAATGACAAGCCAGGCATGGTAGTGCAGGTCTGTAATACCAGAGACTGGGTCCAGGAAAGAGGACCACAAGTTCAAGGTCAGCTTGAGCAAGTTAATGAGACCGTGTCTCAAAATAAAAAATAAAAAGGGCTGGGGATATGACTCAGTGGTTAAGCGCCCTTGGGTTCAAAACACCAAACAAACAAACAAGTAAATAAATAAAATAAAATTCAAATCTCATATTTTGCTACATATTTATCTTCAAATTATGATTCTCAGACCCTCATATTAAGTAAACTCGAATTAACAGTCATAGATTTATCTAGTAAGTACAAATATAAATAATTCTCATATCTATCAACTACTTTTGGCATACCAGATTTTTCATAATTATATATTTTAAAATGAAAGTTAACTGAGACTAAGGCAGGTGGTGGCAAAAAATACTTGTATCCAGGCTAACTCCATACTATGCCATTTTCTAATATAGAACTTTTTTGAAAGCTTTAAAAAGCAAAAAAAGAGGAAAAAAAAAACATGTGAGGCCCTGAGTTTGATCTCCCACACCATAAAAAGAGTTTCTCATAATATTAACATCCCTAATTATTGTTTTTTACACTTAAACATTGCTTACAAATTCCCTATGTGTAAGTTATTTGAACTCTAACAACAGTTACAAACCTTAAAAAGGCTATCAGAAACTATAAATAAAAATAATATTTTATCAGTGAACAGAGGAGCAAATAATTAAACTTCTAACTAATATGCATAGGGACCCAGCAACCACCCTAGATGATGGGCAATAGAATAAAGAAAGAAGGGTTAGCTGGAGAATTCACTATCCCCAGTCTCCAACACACCATGCATGGCCCTACTTAACATACAGGATAGAGTCAGAGACTTTTCGGACTTAGATGGCAGTGCATAGCTATCATTTTTAAAATATTTAAGCCAGGCATTATAGAAGGCCTATTATTGGTTCTAACAAATGTCCAACTATAGGATGATAATTAAATCATAGTATATTCTCATGATAGAATATGTGACTAATGTGGCTGTTACAAATAAAGTTTTTGAGACAGACCAAATGACTTAAAGAAATGGTTATTTAATGGAACCTAGTTGTTAGATAATGATTCATAATATTTCCGTAGCACCTTTCAACTAAAAACTGCATTTGAAGTTTTATAAAGACAATTTATAAATTAATAATAATGGGCAACAAAATAGCCAAATTGTATTGTTCTATTGTGTGCATGTACAAATATGTAACAACGAATCCCACTACTATGTACAATTACAATGACCGATGAAACATTTACAAATACTGTGACTGAAGAATCTAAAAACATTAGAATTAAAAAGTTCTTGGAGTAGGAAAGACAATGGAATGCAATGGTCATCATTACCCTATGTACACGTATGAAGACATGAAGGATGTGACTCTACTTTGCGTACAACCAGAGATATGAAAAATTGTGCTCTATATGTGTAATGTGAATTGTAATGCATTCTGTTGTCATATATAACAAATTAAAAATTTTTAAAAAGTTCTTGCCCTTTTAATGAGTGAAATTGCTATATTGTACTTAACCACAACTATGTACAGATGCTCCTTAACTTATGATAGGGTTATGTCCTAATAAATTCACTGTAAGTTGGAAATATCATAAATTAAAAAATGCACTGAATACACCTAACCTACTTAACATCCGAGCTTAGCTTACTCTACTAAGCATGCTTAGAAGACCTACACTTGGGCAAAATGACCAAACACAAAGCCCATTTTACTATAAAGTGTTGAATCTCATGTAATTTATCAAATACTATATGAACATGGAAAATGGAATGTTTTTGCACCAGTATATTTTTGCACCATATAAAGTCAAAAATATCATAAGTCAAATCATCCTAAGTCAGGGACTGTATGTATATTTTTAGAATTTAAGAAGCCTCTGATTACCTATGATCCAGGGTATTAGTTTTACTATCTTAAGCAGTCTATAACTCTGAAAATGGGGCCAAGAGAAAGGCAAAATCAGTTGCAGTTTTCTTAAGATTAAGACATTTTGGGGGGCAGTTAGGATTTATAGAAAAAAAAAATACAGAGTTCTCATTTGCCCTTATACTCATCCCAAATTCCCCTATTTTTAACACTCTCTGGGAGAAGAGTTAAATGTTCTTATCATAAATGATTAGTATGTGAGGTAATAAATTATTTTTTTAAAGCTTGCTGACCTCTGGACTAGACAATCATTAAAGTTACTTCTAGTTACTTCTAGTGTGTCTACCAGATTCACCATTAAAAATTATCTGCCATATAGTCACACAAAGACTTGCACACAAATGTTCACCACAGCATTATTCATATTATGGTTTGAATGCATCTTCCAAGGTTCATGTATTATAAACTTCATCCCCAAGGTAGTGGGGTTGAGAGGTAAGGCCTAATGGGACGTGTTTGGCTCATGGGGGCACCACCCTCATGAACGGATTAATGTCCTTATAATAGGAATAGGCTCACTCTGTCTTGTACTCCCTCACTGTATTTTTCTGTCTCCTGCTGCTCTTCAGCTATGCTCCTTCTGCCACGTTATGAAATAGCAAGAAAGCCCTTTAGCCCCTCCATCTTGGCTTTCTCAGCATCCAAAACTGTAAGCCAATACATTTTTGCTCATTACAAATTACCCAGTCTATGGTCTCTGTTATATAGCAGCACAAAACTAACTACAACAATTCATAATAGTCAAACAATATAACCAATCTAAATGTCCATCAACAAATAAATGGATAAAATAATGTCATATGCACATACAACAAAATACTATTTGACCCTGAAAAGGAATGAAATACTGATACATGCCACAATATGAACACAATTTGAAAAATCCTATGCAAAATGAAAGAAGTCATACAGACAAGATCACATCACTGTACATTTCCATTTATATGAAATGTCCAGAATAGATAATTATTTATTTATTTTTATGTGGTGCTTAGGCTCGAACCCAGCGCCTCGCACGTGCTAGGCTAGCGCTCTACCACTGAACCACAACCCCAGCCTCCAGAATAGATAAATAGGTAGGGACAGAAAGTAGATGTGCAGCTGTGGTTTGAGGTATAAAGGGGATTTTAATTCTTTTTTGGTGATGACAATAGTTTAAAATTGACTGTAGTGATAGTTGCACAAGTCTGTGAATACACTGCAAACCACTGAATTATACTGTTTTGAAGACTTTTAAAACTATATAATAAACTTACTTTCTCTAAGCTGCTAAGAACTAGTGCTATAAAATTAATTTGTATATAAAGAAAGTGGGAGAAAGACTATGCATATTACATATATGAACATATTATATATTTTACATGTGGTTTGTACACAGAACCTCTCAAAGGATATACAAGAAATGGTAACATGCCTGTGTGGAGAGGAACTGACTGATTGAGGGACTGCAGGGAACCCTGCACTAAAAATCCTATTGTGCCTTTTTAATTTTTTTACACTGAAAAGATATTATTTTTTAAAAAGTTAAGGGAAGAAAATGATTCACCTAGTGAAACAAACTGGTTAAGAATTAGCTAAGCCAAAAACTGGTCATGAGATTAGAATTCATTATTATTATTTAATGGCATGTGTCACAATCTGGAAATTTTCACCTGAGCACACATTTATTCCAACATTTTGCAAACCTTGCACTAATTCAGGAAAATCTCTATTTTTACAGCTTAATAATGAGAGTGGTTAATTTTTTGAGAGTGAGCCTAGTCTTGAGATTTGGACTTTCAAAATTAAACGTTCTATGAGGCTTAACATATGACCTAAAAAAGGTTCACATTCTTTGATTCAGTAATTCTTGTTACAAAAATCTTGCATAAGATTTTTAAAAATCAGAATTGAGGAAGAATAATAAAAAAGATGTTCATTACTGCACGAGTTCTAATTTTTTAAAAAAGGAAACGAGGAAATTGGTTAAGTAAATTACAGTATAATTTTTGATAAAACAATTCAGTCACTTAAAGTTATTTGTTTATAGAAATCTTTGTGACATGGTGATATTAGGAAAAATGCAGGATAAAAAATTTATATTTACTATGATCTTACTCTACTTTCTTAAAAGTCAGCATTGTGAGAAAATACCAAAAAGTTACTACTAGGGATGAGTCCGAATCCTGGTACTGGAAAGCTCTGACCTACTTCAATGTACTTTAAATGCCCCATAAAGATCACCTATTATATTTACATTCTGTAAAATATCTAAGCTGATGAAGGAATGCACCACCGAGGCTGTCTAATGCCACCACTCATGCTTATGTAAGAGAGACTGTAACCTTCTGGGGAATTCGACGTCCGCGGTTTAAAACACCTTTGGTTCCAGGGGTCAAACAACAGCATACACTAGTTAGTAGCTTGCAAAAGTCGTGCACCGAGAAGGTGGCAGGCCGTGCTCCATGCCTTCCCTGCATTGTCAACCCTCAACCAATTCCCAAAGCAGCAGCGCACTTGACCATGGGCTATTCCCTATTCTGTCTATTGAAATTATGGGCTGGGCAAGTGTCACGATCCCTTCAAACCAACCAAGATCTCCAAATAATAAACCAGCCGTTCTCAGGCGCCCTAAACGCTCTTTCTTTAACGCCCTCCAGGGAACCGTGGTTCTCTCCCAGCGGATGGTGGGCGCGCGCCCATCCCCGGCCGCCAGGAGCCGCTCAGTTCAAGGAAAACTAGGTGAGGAGAGCTAAGAGGACCTGAAACACTCCCCTGCCGCCAGACGAGCCTCTCAGAGAGGCCCAACTCCGGGCTCTGGCTCGGGGAGGCGGGCGGCGAGCTCGGGGCTCAGGGCCGCACTGCGCACTCGGACCGAACCCGCCCGTCCGGAAGCCTGCTTACCTGGGCCCCCGGCAGGCGCTGTCATGGTGACGGACGCCCTCCGTTTGCGCAGGCGCCGAGCGATTGGCAACCAGCCGACAATCGCCTGCGGTGTGGCAGGCGGACTCTAGAACCACGAGTTCGTAGCCCCTGGGCGCACCAGCGAGGCCGAGCCGGAAGGCGCGAGGAGCACCGCGCCTGCGCAGTTTCGCCTGCCCATGGCTGTGGCCCGGGCGTTGCGGATAGTGCTATCCTAGGGAAGACCACAGCGATGGGAAGCATTTGCTGGTGTGGGGCACGAATTTCCAAATAAGTTGGATATATTTTCTTTTTAATCTTAGTAACATTCTAGAAAGGGTATCGTTATTACTCCATAAAAAACTCCATAAAAAAGAGTGCTGTTGCACAAGGATATTTAGATGAAGCTTCAAGTTTTCTCTCCCCTTCTCCTTCAAACTCGAAAGACTCCCAACTCGGCTCTCTCTCTCACTGCCTTCCTAACCCGCCTGAAACTCCTTGTTTCTGAAGCCAGGCTAATGCAGGAAGAGCACCTTGGGACTCTGACTAACCTGGATGAGCAACCTGGCTTTATGGTTTTCGACTTCTGCAACTCTAATACAACTGAAGCTGCCAGCGGTAAAATTGAACTAACTTAACAGCGCTGACCTAGAACACGAATGGAGGCTGTCTTCACCCAACCCTGCAGACTTTAATATTTTTAAATCCTTCTATATTTGAGTTACAATTATTTTTATTTATCTTCAATCAGGCCTTCATATTTTCCCCAGGTGCATCAGAAAAGATTTCTACACTTAAGAAAACACTACGTTTTAATGACATCAATTTTGAAGTCATTACGTTAAAGTTTTAAAATTTTATGGAACAGATCAATAGATTAGAGGAAAGGGATTGGGAGGAGGAGAGGGTATTAGAAAGTACTGGGGAAGAAATCTTCCAAATTATGCCAGGTCCATGCATAAATCTACCAAAATGAATCTCGCTTTTATATGTAAATATAATACACGAATTAAAAGAATAATAGAAGAGAGATCGGTAGATAGAGTAAGCAGATCAGGGGAAGGGAGGAGGAAAGGGAAGGGGAAGGTAAAGGGATGAGATTGATTAAAATATGTTCATGCGCAAATATCATAATGAATTCTACTTTTACTTTTAATTATGCACCAATAAGAATAAGTAAAATAATAAAAATTTAAAGTTTCACTTAAATTTTTAACTTAAAAATAGATTTACTGAGATATACAAGTGATTTGCATCTGATTACATTTCTGTAATGACTAATAATTGTATATTTAAAGTGCATAATTCAGCAGATTCACAGTATTCATAGAGTTGTACAACCATCATGACAAGGAACTTGAGAACATTTCATCACCCCAAAGCAACAACTCTATCCCCCCACCCTCACCCTACACACATACTCCCTAAGCAACCACTTACCTACTTTCTATCCCTATGGATTTGCCTATTCTGGACATTTTATGTAAATGGTATCACATAATAAATGATATTTTGTTTCTGGCATCTTTCATTAAGGATAATGTTTTTCAAGGTTCATTCATGTTTCAGCATGTGTCAATACTTTCTTCCTTTTTATGGTTGAATAAATTCCATTGCATAAAACAAAACTGAGGTAGAACAGAAGAAATAAAGAAGCAGCTAGAAAGGCCACATAAAGGAAAGACAAGGAAATATAATTTTAATTTAAAGCTTCACATACTTTTCCAGGCCTATCACTCTCAAGCCACTCTCTCTCCCAGGCCTGTCACTCCATAATTTCTGGGAAATATGTAAATTTGAGTTACCATAAAATCATTCACTTATGATAATTAACTTGTATACTGTTCATTAGTCCAATAACTGTATTAAGCAAAGAGAGATGAGATTTTTTTTAAAAACCCAACATTATTTCTTCATCAGATAATGGAAACCATGTCAGCTGAAGGATCCTGAGAATAAGCAGACCACCAGAAATCATTTTGAGATCACCAAACTGATGATATTTTTACATACCTCACCATACCCATCCCTCAGCAAGTTTCTTTTAAAGAAGAGCCAGAAACCACAAAAACACATCTCTCCAGATGGCCTGCATTCTCCCTTGAATCTGTATTCTTTACTTTCTTAGGTAAGTCTCTGTGCTTATACTGACATGTGCTGATATGCTTTTCCATCACAGATGTCAAGAACACTGTTGTTCTCAGTAGAGTTCTCCCCTTCTCTGAGAATTCCACTGGACTATCTTCTGGGTGACCTTGACTCCAGTGACAAAACATTTTTACCTGTCTACTCATCAGTTGGTGGACATTTGAGTTGTTTCTACTTTATGATTGCTATCAATAATGCTGCTATGAACATTTATGTACAAGTTTCATGTGGATGTATTTCTTGTGTGTATATACCTAGGAGTGGAATTGCTTCTTCTATGAAACACTATTTTCAACTTGTAAGGAACTGCCAGTTTTGTAAAGCAGTTGTACCATTTTACATTCCTTTCAACACTTTACTAAGGTCTCAATTTCTACACATTCTCACCAATGATTATATAACTTTTTAAAAATTATGGGCATCCTAGTTCATATGAAGAAGTACATCATTGTTTGATTTTTTTTTTTGTCTTGATTTCCCTACTGACTAATAACTTTGAGCATATTATCAGGAGTTTATTGGCCGTTTGCATATTTGATTTGAGGGAATATTCATTTGCTCAATTTTTAAATTGGATTTTTTTGTGTTTTTATTGTTGAACTGTGGAATTCCTTATATAAGTCTGAATACAAGTTCTTTTAACAGATGATTTTCAGATATTTTCTCACACTTTGCAGGTTGTCTTCTCCATTTCTTGATGGTACTTATAGTAGAAAGTTTTTGTGACCTATTGGTCACCATATTAGCTCAGTACTTTGATAGATTTTACAATAACTGACTCAGAATTTTCTCTTGACCATGTATTTTTTAGAAATTTCTGTGATTTGCTTCAAAATACTCCAGCAAGGAAGGGATAGATGAAGAAAAAGAGGCAAATCTTGATAATTATTGAATTGGATTTTGTAGGATGGTTATATGGTTTCATTATACCATTCTTTACTTTTGAATGCTTGGAAATTTTACAGCAAATTTGTGTCTAATTACTTTTTTTTATAGGGGGGACCCAGAGGAAGAGTTTCATAAGTGAAGGGTTTATGGAGCACTGGTGAAAAATAACAGACAACAGAACCTTACAAGGACTAGAACATGAAAGATAGGTATCAACCTGAGAGCCTGAAACTTTTTGTTGAGTTATATAAAGGAGTATTTAAATAATTCATGATTTCTGATTGGTCCGAACTGGGTAAAGGTATGTGTATTAGAGGAGTGGAATAAGAAGAGGTCATCTGTGTAAAGCATTAATCTCCAGGATATAAAAATAACTCAAAAAACTTAACACAAAAAACCCCCAAAGAACAAAAAACAAACAATAACAACAACAACAAAAATGACCCAATCAATCAATATATGGGCAAAGGAACTGAATAGATACTTCACAGAAGAAACACAATTGATCAACAAATATATGAAAAAATGTTCAACATCTCTAGCAAGTAGAGAAATGCAAATTAAAACTGAGATTTCATCTCAGTGGGGTGTGGTGGCGCATGCCTGTAATCCCAGCGGCTCTAGAGGCTGAGAGAGGAGGATCCCAAGCTCAAAGCCAGCCTCAGCAAAAGTGAGGTGCTAAGCAACTCAGCGAGACCCTGTCTCTAAATAAAATACAAAATAGGGCTGGGGATGTGGCTCAGTGGTCAAGTGCCCCTGAGTTCAATCCCCAGTACCAAAAAAAAAAAAAAAAAAAAAAAAGATTTCATCTCACCCTAGTCAGAATTGCAATTATTAAGAATACAAACAACAATAAATATTGGAGAGGATATGGAGGAAAAGGTACACTCAGATTGCTGGTGGGACTGCAAATTGGTGCAACCACTCTGAAAATTGGTATGGAGAATCCTCAGAAAACTTTGAATGGAACCACCATTTGACCCAGCTATCCCACTCCTCGGTTTATACCTAAAGGACTTAAAGCCAACATACTACAATGATGCAACCACATTTGTAGCAGCTCAATTCACAATAGTTAAACTATAGAACCAACTTAGGTGCCCTTCAACAGATGAATGGATAAAGAAAATGTGGTATATATACACAATGGAATATTACTCAGCCTTAAAGAATGAAACTATGGCATTTGCCAGTAAATGGATGGAGCTGGAGAATATCGTGCTAAGTGAAATAAGCCAATCCCCAAAACGCCAAAGTCGAATGTTTTCTCTGCTATATGGATGTTAATTCACAATGGGAGGGAGCTACGAAAAATTAGAGTTACTTTAGATTAGGTAGAGGGGAGTGAAGGGAGGGGAGAGGGTATGGGGGAGGAATGATAGTAGATCGAATCAGACATTATTACTCTATGTACACATATAACTATGATCCATGGAATTCTACATTATGTATAACCAGAATAATGAAAAGTTATACTCGATTACATATGATGTATCAAAGTGCATTCTGTCATGTATATTTAATTAAAACAAATATAAAAATGTAAAAAAATGTTCAACATCTTAGCAACTAGAGAAATGCAAATCAAAACTACTCTAGCCAAATGCAAATCAAAACTAATCCCAGCCACTTGGGAGGCTGAGACAGGAGGATCATGAGTTCAAAGTCAGCCTCAGCAAAGGTGAGGCGCTAAGCAACTCTGTGACAGCTTCTCTCTAAATAAAATCAAAATAGAGCTGGGGATGTAGCTCTACATCCGTTTGATTTATGGGTGTTGATTTTATATCCCACCTCCCCAAAAACACAACTACTTTTTAAGATTTCATCTCAATACAGTCAGAATGGCAATCATCAAGAATATGAGAAACAATAAATGTTGGAAAGGATATGGAGGAAAAGGTACACTCATACTTTGCTGGTGGGACTGCGAATAGTGCAACTCTGGAAATTGGTATGGAGATTCCTCCAAAAACTTGGAATGGAACAGTCTCTCTATTCTAGTGCCTAAGTCTTTGACCCACTTTGAGTTTCGTGCAGAGTGAGAGATAGGGGTTAATTCATTTTGTTACACATGTATTTCCAGTTTTCCCAGCACCATTTGTTGAATAGGCTCTTTTCTTCAACGAATGTTTTTGGCACCTTTATCTTATGAGTTAACTGTATTTATATGGGTTTGTCTCTGTCTTCTATTCTGTGTCTTTTTGGTGCCAATACCATGCTGTTTTTGTTATTATGGCTCTGTAGTATAGTTTAAGTTCTGGTATTGTGATGTCTCCTGATTCACTCTTCTAAGGATTGCTTTGGCTATTCTGGGTCTCATTTTTCCAAATGAATTTCATGATTGCTTTTTCTAGTTCTATGAAGAATATCATAGGGATTTTAATAGGAATTACATTATATCTACGTAATGCTTTTGGTAGTATGGCCATTTTGACAATATTAATTGTGCCTATCCAGGAGTACAAGAGAACTTTCCATCTTCTAAGATTGTCTTTAACTTCTTTCTTTAGTGTTCTGTAGTTTTCATTATAGAGTTCTTTCACCTCTTTTGTTAGATTAATTCCCAAGTTATTTTTCTTTTCTTGAGGCTATTGTGAACAAGGTTGTTTTCCTAATTTCTCTTTCAGTAGATTCATCACTGATATATAGGAATCCGTTTGATTTATGGGTGTTGATTTTATATCCTGCTATTTGCTGAATTCATTTATTTTGGAAGATTTCTGGTGGAATGTTTTTGGATCTTCTAAATATCAAATCATGTCATTGGCAAATAGTGATAGTTTGGGGGGTGGGTTCTTTTTCTATTTGTATCCATTGAATTTCTTCTAATTGCTGTGGCTGGAGTTTCAAGGACGATGTTGAATAGAAGTGGTGAAAGAGGAAATACTTGTCTTGTTCCAATTTTTAGAGGGAATACTTTCAATTTTTCTCCATTTAGAATGATGTTTGCCTTGTGTTTAGCGTAGATAGCTTTTACAATGTTGAGGTATGTTCCTACTCTCCCTAGATTCTCTAGAGTTTTGAACATGAAGGGGTGCTGATTTGTCAAAAATTTTTTTCTGCATCTATTGCAATGATCATGATTGTCTTTAAGCCTATTGACGTGAATTACACTTATTGGTTTAAGACAACTTTGTCTAGTATAACTGTAGGAATGTGGGTTTGTTTCTGTGTCTTCTGTTCTGTACCACTGGTCTACATACTTGTTTTGGTGCCAATACCACACCATTTTTATTACTACTATATCTCTGTCGTATAATTTAAGGTCTGGTATTGTGATGAGGATGGACATTTCTTATTGTCTTAAAATCTCTTTGAGGTTTTAAAATTATTTTGTATTTTAATCAGCTATGGTTGTTTTCAGCAGAAGCATTAATCTAAATATACTAGCATTCAATTTTCAAAAATAGAAAATTTCTCACAGTTGCACTTTTGTTCCTGTATGGTTAAAACTTACTCTCCTGGTGTTTTCTGCACTTACCACATACTACTTGTGGCATGCATTCCATAAATGTTAAAAAGAAATATGTCTAATTCTGTAATAACAACTAATAATTTTTCGCTATTTAGAACTAAATTGTTAAATTTAGAGCTGCTCAAAAATATGGGTATCTTTTATTTAATGTTAGTTGCTGCATATAACATATTATTATAAAACTTAAGCCTAAAACAAACATTATCATACACAATTTCTGAAGATCAGGAATGTGAGTTTGGCTTAGTTGGGTGGATTTTATGAGGCTGTATTCAAGCCACTGGCTGGGGCTACAATTTGAAGGCTTAACTAAAGATGGAGAATCTACTTTCCATTCATGTGGCCATCAGCAGGAAGAGGCTTCAGTTCTCATCAAATAGGCTATACAATTGCCCATACCTGGCAAGTTGAATTCATGCCGCTCCCCATTTATCCAATAAAAAGAGAGGGGAAAAAAAAGACAGAATCTTTCACAATGCATTATTCTGCCATATTCTATTGATCCCAAAGACCAACACAAGAGCATGAATACCAGGAAGTGGGGATCACTGGAGGCAATTCTGAAGGCTAACATATTGTTTAATTTTTTTTTTTTTTACAAAGGCTTTTACTATAGCAGTTGAATTAAACCTGTTCATCTGTAAAAACAATGAAAATATGGCTGAATTTTATCAATGTAAGGCAGAAAATGTTTCCAAAAGGTATTAGTATTACATATCATTCCAAGGTAAATTAAAAACTGGGATATTAAGAATAAGATTTGAAGCCAGGTGTGGTGGTACATGCCTGTAATCCCAGTGGCTCAGGAGGCTGAAGTAAGAGGATTGTGAGTTCAAAACCAGAGGCACTAAGCAACTCAGCAAGACCCTGTCTCAAAATAAAATGCAAAAAGGGACTGGGGATGTGGCTCACTGATTAAGTGCCCCTGGGTTGAATTCCTGATACCAAATAATATTACTATTATTATTATAGTAATAATAAGATTTGAAACTATTAAAATCTGATTTGAAAAAACCATGAGTGTAATTAAATGATAAAAGATAAGTTTAGATGGCAAGTTGAGTGCCTGATAGGAAAAAATAAAAATTTAAAATATAGCTTCAATAAAAAATAACCATTCAGGTATTTCAGTAATAAAAGTTTTGTTATTAAAAAGTCCTCCTATTAAGACACATGTCATAACTCTTTTATTAATGGAGTCTTTCTTCCTTTCTATAATTTAGATGTTTTTACCAATTACTGAGTAAACAATCTTATTGACAAAAGCAATAAGATCTCTAGGATCCTAAACATATGCTATGTAACCCAAAGTAACTGATACACAAGAAATGAGAGAGGATTGTACAATAATTTTGGAAAACAGTGTGAGAGTCCTCAAAAAATTTAAAATAGAAATATATGATCCAGCAAACCAACTACTGGATATATATCTAAAGGAAATGAAACTACTCTGTTAAAGAGAGAGATATATATATATATATACCCCCATGATTCACTGCAGGATTATTCACCATACCAAGATATGGAATCAACCTGAGTATCTACCAATAGATGAACAGATAAAGAAAATGTGGTGTGAATACACAATGGAATTTAGCTTCAAAAAAGAAGGAAATTCTATCATTTGTGACAAGCATTTATGTTAAGCAAAATACAATAGGCACAGGAAGACAAATACACATGATAATTTTTATGTGGAATCTAAAAAAGCTGAATTTAGAAGCAGAGAGTAGAATAGATGGTGGTTGCTAGGGTGCAGAAGGGATGGAAGATGGCAGAGGCATTGTGGGAGATGTTGGCCAAAGAATATAAAATTTCAGTTAGGAGAAGTAAGTTCAACCTATACAGCGTGAGTACAATATATTGTGCACTTGAAAAAAATTACGGGAGAAAATAAGAATATACTTATTTGTATTTGCTGCTACAGCACCTAAATCTTGGAATAATTTATAAGGAACAAATAAAAATGATTACCTGTTGAGACTTGTGGGTGGGAAGAACAAGGTAGATGTGTACAAGGTGGGAGGGAGTTTTAATATTTGTTTTTAAATTCATATTTACATAAAACTTTAAGTCACAGAGAAGAAAAATAAAACCTGGGATTAGTTGGAAGTTTGTTTTATTTCAAGATATTTTCTTTTAAAATTTGAGTCACATCATGAAAGTTATGCTTGCTATTAAAAAATAAATGCTCTGTTCTTTGTTTATGAACAATACCTAAATCTAGATTGCTATACACCTAGGCAGCTGAGAACCATAGTCAGGCTACTACTTTTATAATTAAATCATAAGATGAAACATCCACACAACACCAAAGACTGGTTTAAATTGATTTAGAAAGGAAATTGAGTCTTTCTACAATATTACAGATTTTTCAGATTTTCAGCTTTTGCCAACTTCACTGCCCAGAATTTAATAGGTTCTCTGATGCCTTCTCATTAATGGTTTGGCTGCCTCCTCAGTTGTTTCACAATCACCTAGTCAAGATTCATGTCTATCACAGCAATCTAAAACTTTCGCTACACATTAATCCTCTGTTTAATACATTTAGCTCCAAGAGGGAAAGAACTGTTTATTCATTTTTAACCAATGACCTAATAAAGTGCTCTGCACATAGCATGTACACAAACACACACACAGTTTGCTGGCTAATAGTTGTATACAACAGTAGGCTACATTTTACTTCAGATTTCAAAATTCAGAAAAAAGAGAGTAGTAATAAAAGGTAATCGATAAAAATAGATCATTGTAGAGTGAGTATAAAGAACCATTCTATTTCTTTACTTTAAAAAAAATTAAAAATCCAACTTTAGTACCAATGTGAAGAATATGGCCAAATAAGTAGCAAATGCTTTCAGAAATATATGTCTATAAAGAATACTTTAAAATGTGCCTTCAAACCTTGGGTATAGAATTCCAATTTTTATTGAAGGTAGAGGCTTTATAAAAACAAATCCAAAACTATCCCATCATAGAAGACCCTTCTACCCTTTGGATGTTTTAAGGAAACTTTAGTATTTATAAATTCTGCAATTACATCACAAAATAAGTGTAGACTATACTGCAAAACAAACACACTAAATAAAGAAAACATAAATTGAGTTTCATATGTAATTGTCTTTATCTTACACCAGTTCAATAAATTTCACAAGTTATAATTTGTTGCCATTTTATTTAACATCTGTAACATTTACACTGTTATGAACTAGTGATTTCCAGAGGAATGATATTTTCCTCCAAATTGTGTCTTTGGCTAGTACCACAGATGTGATCCAGTGGAACCAGATGCCCAAACATTAAAATTCTTGGTCTCTCCTAGCACGAGACCTCAGATCCTGAGTTATAGACTCGATTTAATTTATAAGAGGTGCTTCACAAATATTTTTCTTATTACAGGGTTATTTAGTGTAGTTTCTTTTCCTTCAGACATACAATGAGTGTTTTTGATACAAAAAATATATATATTACACATACAAATAAAAAAGGCATTAAAATAATTGATTTTATATAACTTAAATGACAGGAATAATATATGCCCTTTTTCTTTTCTTCTTCTTCTTTTTAAATGTTTGCAGTAAAAGGGAAAGCGCTACAATAGTTTCAAAAACATAGACTTAAACTTCATTCAATATTCTATTATAAAAAACTATTATATAAAGAATTGAAAATACGTAAAAGTAATTAGTTCATTAAAATTGATAATGTACTGGTGTCAATGAAAACATGTAAGGTTGTCAAGATATTTCTAAGAATTAACATGGGAAAAAATAACTTGTTTCAGGCTTAATATATTGCTACATACTGACTATTTGAGGGGTACTCTGGCCTTTTGTTAATCAGTGGTAGAAGTATTAAATACAGTGGTATACTTTCAAAGTAAAGGAGAAAAAAATAATGCACTATGATACAAAAATATTGCCTATTTATAAATTATTCTTATAAAACATTCTGAATCATAAGTTGCTATAAAAACAAATACTTAAATATAGAAGCACAAAACCCTAAAGCACCCATAATCATTTTAAGAATACCCATTTAATCAAGAAAATGATATATATATAAAATAAGTGAGAAGAAAAAAGGCAATTAATCCAAACAATCAAGAGTTTATCTAATTATGGAGGGAGGTCTCCACTCCAATTATACAAATAAGTTATCAGTTTTATTCAAAGAATCATAAGTCAAAGATCTTGAAACTGGTCTGTGCCATTGAAATACATTTTTAACAGACTTTAGAAACCAGTATCTTAACTGGCATATACACAAAACAGACATTTCCTTCATAAGGTTACATCTGAATAGAGCCTTCATTAAAATCATTCTTGGTATAAAGAGGTATAACTAAGTGCAGACACTTTGGCTTAGCATTTAAATAATGCTGTAAATGCTACAGATTTCTTCAAGGTATAAGGAATCCTTGTCATTTTAGTACATGTATTAAGTGTAAAGCTTCAAAAACTGTGGATCACTTAAATTTTTAGGTATTTAAATATTGTGCTAATGATTTTAAAAGATCATTCCTGCCTAAAAAGCAAAGCTTATATGTTTCAAACATCAAATATTTACTTTTAGTGTTTGTGGCATTTCAGCTTTAGTGCTAGAGTTAATTTTAACAAAACAGTTTGCAATATATAATACAGCACATTCTTCCACTAAAAAAGATTTTCTATAATGAAAAATACTAATTCTATTTCTAACGATAAACTAGAATTGGAGGTCCCACCGTGGATCACAGGTATCAGAGCACTATCAAGGTCATTTAGGTAATTCTGAGGAAGAAGTTGACCTTCAGATCCTGCCTGAAATTCAACCTGGAAAACAAATATTGATGAGATGATCCTAGAAAATTATCAATCTTGTTTAGCTCCATTGATGAAGATAAATTTTAAAATATCCTAGAATATTCAGCATGTTAATAAAATACTTGATATATTATTTATTAAAAAATCCTATATTCTCTTGTATTAATTCTATCCATCTATTACATAAATTATAATTGTTTCTCACATATATATCATAAATATTGTCATAATTTTATACTTTACATTTCCTCTCAATGAATATATAAATACACTGGCTGCGGTTATGAATAATTACCAATATTACCTAAAAAAACACCATGGTATTAAAGATTTTTCTTAGAAATATTTCAATTTTATTATTGCAATAATATTTGATATTAGAATTTAATAGTGCTGATGAAAATTATATTTTAATACATTTGAATAAAAAAGAAAACATTAGCAATGCTTACTCAAATAACAATTCATTATTAGGTGCTTCCTTGAAAAAAGAACTTTTAATAGTGTAATGAAAACAAAACTTCCTCTTTTCAGAAGTATGAGTATAACACATCCTGGCTAGAGAAAAGAACACTGGCATAAGGATGCACCCATGTTTAGATTAAATAGTCTAATGAAAAATCTGCTTTGAAAATCTGTATTTCCAAATATATAATCAAAAAAGTTTGATTATATACTGTTACATGCTACTATAAAAAAAAGTTTGATTATATACTGTTTTGATAAAAAAGAACACTCTCAAAAATCATTGGTAGAAATATAAATTAGCATAATCTCTATTTGGGACAATAAGGCAATTTTGAGCACATACCTGGATCAAGCAATTCTAGTTCTAGGAATTTTTCTTATGTCTATGCTCACACTTATACACAAGCAAAATACTGTGGAAAACCTAAATTTCAATCAACCTATAGCAAATAAGCATGAAGATCTGGTTAAATAAATTACTATTTAACTACTCTGCAACATTAAAAAGAATTTATGCTGTTACATAATCCCTCCATGGTCATAGCAAAAAAAAAAAAAAAAAAAAAAGTTTAGCTGAAATGATCCTTTTCATGTATTTGCTTTTAGACATCTTAAGTTTTATTTAAAACATGTGAATATAAAATCTAGTCAGAATAAGTAAATTTAAAAACATTCCTATTAAGTAGGATAGTCATGGGCAGGGTGGTCAGCAAATTATGGCCTGCAGCCCAAATCTGGCCCCAATGGGTACAGGAAATTTCATGGATAAAAGCCACATTCATTGTTTGCATAGAGTTAGTGGCTGCTTTCTAACTATAATGCAGAGCTGAACTTTTGTGAAAGAAACCAAACAGCCTACAATGCCTAAAATATTTACTATCTGGCCTTTTACCAAAAAGTATGCTGACCTCTATTGCACAGATTAATAGAAATAATACATGTGAATTTATAGCACACATTTGATGCTCAACAAATTTTGGCTCCCTTTTCTCAAAATAAAAGGCTAGAGAAAAATCTTTTGATTATTTTAATATATGATATATTCATTTAAAAATTCATCACAGAAGCATCCTTACCATATCAGTGTCAATAGAAACTCTGAGTCCAATTTTATTCATTCTATTACTCTTTAGTGTTTTCAGGTGAGGGCAGAGTGCAGCACTACAAGCCATGGCTATTTCTTTTGCAAACTGGTAACAAGTTGATAAAATAGATAAATCCTGGTCTTTTAGAAAGTAAAACACCTGAAATGTATTTAATTAGGAAACAAGTCATGATTAAGATTCAAAGTAACTTTCAAAATGAAACAATTAAGCTCTACATGGAAGGCTGAAACAGGAAGATCACAAGACCTTCCTCAAAAATATTAAAACAATGCTTTCTTATTCCTATATTCTCTCTGATTTCTACATTATAAGTTAAAAATGTATGTATTACATAAGAAATGAATGATGCCAGTGGGAGGTGGGGGGAGGAGGGAAGTGCTGGGGAGCAATACTGGCTGAATTACATTTTTATATTGTGTTTATATATGAATATGTAACAACAAATCTCATCATTATGTACAACTATAATGTAACAACAACAACAAAAAAATGTGGGGTGGGGAAGAAATGAATGACCAATTGCCAGTTGCCTGACCAGGGGAGATGGCAGAAGGAGAATAAAGAAGCAGATTAAGAGGCTAGGGAGTATACATATCTATAGTTTCATTACCTCTTCTTTAAAAGAAAAAAAAGTTAGAACATGCACAAATAACTTTCATTACGTGAATGCTGATTATAAATGCATGTCAAAAAATATTTTACTGTAAAATAAGAGAAAAATAAAAATAACTTATTACAATACAAAGATGGCAATGTTGCCAAAACTGAACCATTAGCTGGCAGCAGTACCATCATGATGATAGCCTAAAGTACACCTAGGGGAAATCTACATCTAGTGTGTAAGAGACAGGCTAGCGCAGAAATATGCATGTGCCTACCAGTGTAAAGTAAAACAAAGTAAAATGTATATTAAGCTACACTTCAACATTCAAAGGTTGAGCATGCACCATGTCCAAATTCAAAATACAAAAACCATATCCAAACACAGAATGTAAAGGAAAGGGATCTCCTTTCTCTGTTACCTCAGTACACTTTACAATCTTCTCATCAGTTTCAAAATCTGCTTCCAGTTTTATTTTTTCACTTGGAAATCCCTGTAATGATATTCCATCCACTGAACTGATAACACTGCAGAATAAAGCAATATAGTACGATTATTAGCATAAAAGTGCTTTTCTGAAATGAATTATTAGATTTGAACAAATGAGATGAGAAAAACTATGAAAGTCCTACATTTTAAGCAGCAACAAGATGTCTCAATTATATACAAAATAATTAAACCTGCAGCTCACTTATCATGATTTCTTGACTGTAAAACAAATTTTTTCATTCATCAATAAATTATATGTCCTTCTTCATATATGTCCAATTTAGACCTAGGTTTAAAAGGCTTTAAATACTCTCCTAACAGAAAAGATGTCTCATGAATTTGAAAAACCTATTTTGGAATCTTTTAGCATTAGCCCTTAGCCCCAGAAAGAAATACAATGATTAACTGAAAAGAGGAAGAGTGGCAGTAATAATATATAATGTGTCTAATGTGTATACTAAATTTAGTGTGTATTTATAGTAAATCAAAATGATCCAGACTTACCCAAAGAGAATGCTTACTCATTTGACAGAAAAAAAATTTACCTTTTCTCAGCCCTGGCAGCAAGCTCATGCTACTACACAGTGGATGTTTTAACATTAGCCCTCTCCCAAATTGCCCATCTGTTAACAGCATCCTGCCCAAGAAAACCCTTATGAGGCTGGTTAAGTACTATTTGAAAAAACAGGCTGTATTTATTAACTGGAGCATAAGTATTTAAATTAATGGCATAATTCTATATTCATTCATAAAATATTTAATTTATTATAAGAATGTTTTTATCCTTCCCCCTACATCAAATCAAGTACATTTTAGTAACAAAAAATTCCTACCCTTTGTTTCCCTTTTCTTCAGAATCTACCCAGCAGATATCCACATATTCTCTTAGATCTACTGCATCAACTTTTCCACAGGTAATTTTAAAGTCTTTTTGCTCTCGTAAAGCTAGCCGCAAACCGTCCATGGTCTCTGGAGTTATCTGTACCATTAAGCCATCTAGAAATGAGAGTTATGTTTCACATTTATTTTGCCAAATATATGTTTATATGTATAAGCCATAAAATTTACTATCAAAATATGTTCAGTATGAAGGTTTTAAATACTTTGTTAATTATCCTAATAGTGGTCTTCCACTAGAAAATAAAAATATGAAGTTAAGAATTCATTTTTTAAGGTTAAACAAAGAGAAGAATTTGTGCTTCTGGCTATGATGAATTTACTGCTGAAGAATACTTTAAGAAGATTATACATAGGCATGGTGGTGCATGCCTATAATCCCAGTGACTCAGGAGGCTGAGACAAGAGAACTACAAGTTCAAGGCCAGCCTCAGCAACTTCATGAGGCCCTCAACAACTTACAACCTGTTTCAAAAAAAAAAAAAGGACTGGGGATGTGGCTCAGTGTAAAACATCCCTGGGTTAAATTTTCATTTAAAAAAAAGGGGGTAAGGGCTGGGGATATAGCTTAGTTGGTAGAGTGCCTGCCTCGAATGCACAAGGCCCTGGGTTCAATCCCCAGCACTACACACACACACACACACACACACACACACACACATACACACACATTAAAATAAAAAGAAAAAGAAAAAGAATATCATACACTATAATTAAATGGGATTTATCCCGGGGATGCAAAGATGCTTCAAACATGACAAAAATCAAAGAACTAAATACATCACATGAGGGATAAAACTATAATCTCAACATATGCAGAAAAATATTTAATAAAATTCAAAATCCCCTCATAATAAAATCCTCAATAAATTAGGTATAGAAAGACTGTATCTCAACACAATAAAGGTCACAACTAACGAACCTATACCTAACATCATACTGAAAGGGGGAAAGCTGAAATGATTTCCTTGAAGATCAGGAACAAGACAAGGATATTCATTTTCATCACTCTTAAATAACATTGGAATTTTGAGCCAGAGCATTAAGTCAACAGAAAGAAACAAGGGATATCCAAATAGAAAAGGAGGAAGTCAAAGAATGCCTGTTTATAGATGACATGATTTGATATACAAAACAAACAAACAAAACACCTGTTAGAACTGATTAACAAATTCAGTAAGATTGCAGGATACAAAATCAATACACAAAAGCAGTAGCATTTTTATATACCAATAACAAACTTGTCTAGAAAGAAATCAAGAAAGTAATCACATTCACAATAGCATTAATGACAAAATTTCTAAAACAGGAATGTATTTAACCACAGAACTTAGTGATTTCTACAATAAGAATTACAAAACACTGATGAAAGAAACTGAAGATGACACAGAACAATGAAAAGACATCTATATTCAAGGATTGAAGAATGGATGTGAGGGCATCTGGCTGTGACATCTGTCACCCCACTGATCACGAGGGTTGATGCGGCTGATCTGGCTGGCAAAATGGGTATTCCCTTCCTCCCTCACTGCTCCACATGCATCCCTCCTGAAGCTGTATGTTCAAAGAAGACAACTTTCCCCAATAGAAAAGCACCTTTCTTCAGTGAAGAGTATACAGGTTACGGTGCTCCGTGCTAGAACCTTCAAACCAGCTCTCAAGGATTGAAGAATTAATATCATGAAAATGTCTATACTACACAAAGTAATTTCCAAACAGCATGGTATTGACATAAAACACAAAACAAAGATGAAAGAAACAGAATAGAGATTCCAAAAGTAAATCTACCTGTATACAGCCAACTGATCTTCAACAAAGGTGCCACAAACAGACATTGGATAAAGGACATCTCTTCAATAAATGGTGCTGGGAAAACTGGGTATCCATATGCAAAAGATTGAAACTAGATCCAATATCTCTCACCATGTACAAAAGTCTACTAAAATTGGATCAAATACCTAAATGTAAGAACTGAAACTATGAAACTACTAGAAAAAAACACAGGGACTTCAAAATTTCTATATAGGTAATGATTTTTTTGGATAAGAACCAAAGCACAGATTTAAAAAAAAAAAAAAAAAAGCAAAAATAAATGATATTATAACTAACAGGTTCCTGTACAGAAAAGGAAACAACAGAGTAAAGAGACAACGTACAGAATGGGAGAAAATATTTATAAGCACTTCATTCAACAGAGATTGACATTCAATCCATTTGAACATACAAAGAACTGAAAAAATATCCACAGTAAAAACAATTAACAAACAAGCAAATGATCTGAATAAATATTTCTCAAAATAAGATATATCAATGGCCAACATGCATATGAAAAAATGCAAATGTCACTAATCATCAGGGAAGTGTGAATCAAAAATCACACTGAAATATCATCTCACCCCAATCAGAATGTCTATAATCAAACTGACAAAAAAACTAGTAAGGATGTGGAAAAGGAGGAATTACCACTATTGGTAGATTACGTAAATTAGCACAGTCATTAGGAAAACAATATGGAGGTTCCTCAAAAAACTAAAAATAGAACTATTACATGATCTAGATATTCCACTACTGGATCTATTTCCAAAGAAATAAAATAATTTTAACAAAGAAATACCTGCACACCTGTGCTAATGAAGCACCATTATTAATGTTAGCCAAGATATGAAATCAACTGAGGTGCTCCTCAACAGATGAATGAATAAAGATGTGACGTACACAATGGCATATTATTCAATCATAAGAAAGAATGAAATCCTGTCATTTGTGGCAACATAGATGGAACTGGAGGACATTAGGAGACTAATCCAGGCACAGAAAGACATTTGTCACTTGATATTTGTTTCTGTTCATATGTGGAAGCTAAAAGAGTTTATTTCATAGAAGTACAAAATAGGATAGTGGTTATTGGAGGTGGGTAGGCGAGTGGAAGAGAGGTTGAATAACAGGTATCAATATATAGTTCCATAGGCAGGAATAAGTTCCAATGTTCCACATATAGAAGGGTGACTATAGCTCATAACAATTTACATATATTTTATAAAGAACTAGAAAAGAAGAATTCAAAGTTTCCCAACATATATAAATGATAAAAGTTTAAGGAGAAAGAAATGCTAATTACCCTGATTTGATCATTATACATCCTATACCTGTATCAAATTATCATATTGCAGTATATATAATATTTACAATTATTAAATGCCATTTAAAAATGAAGGAGGAGGGGCAGGGGTTGTGCTCAGTGGTAGAGCACTTGCCTAGCATGCACATGGCACTAGTTTCGATCCCCGGCACCACATAAAAATAAACAAATAAAATAAAGGTACTGTGTCCATTACAACTAAAAAAATATTTAAAAAAAAATGAAGGAGGCAGGGCTGGGGTTCTAGTTCAGTGGTAGAGCATTTGTCTAGCATGTGTGAGGCACTGGGTTTGATCCTCAGCACCACATAATAATAGATAAATAAAATAAATGTATTGTGTCTATCTACAACTAAAAAATAGTTTTAAAAAATGAAGGAGTGGGAATCTACAATATATAAAACTATATAAACTACAGGGCAGTTAGAAAAAAGACACATGGCCTAATATAAAAATGGGTAAAGTAGTAAACAGGGATTACACAGAAAAGGTCCCGTAAGTGCCCAATAAATACAAAATAAGATGCTCTACTTCTAAGTGAATAGGAATATGCTAATTATGACCATATTCAGAAATACCTTCCAGATTGACTCAAATTAAGTAGTCTGATTATACCGTGTTTGCAGAATATGTAAACTAATGAAAACTCTTCTACATTCTGATTGTGAGATAAATTGGTACCATCATGCTGAAAAACAATTATCAATATCTTGTAAAGTTGACCATTTATTAATCTATTGACCAAGAAATTCCACTTCTAGATATATATTCTAGGAAAATTTTTAAACTTACATTGTGTCCACACACACAAATAAGAATATTATTAGTATCACTATTTGTAATAGCAAAAAAATCAAGAATTATCCCAGAAGTTCATGACCAGGAAGTGAATATACTGTCACACATTCACAGAATATTTAATAGCACTGAAGATGAATAAGCTATAGCTGCAGGCAACATATACATAAATTTCAGAAACACAAATAATTTTTCATGAAAACAGTTCCATATGACTATATGAAGAATATCTTTCATAATCTCCAAAATAAGCATATTTAGGTTACATATTGTTTGAGCACATGCATATTACGAGTTAAAACAAAACAATAGTATTCAGTCTAGTAGGAAATTCTTAGGGAAAGGAGGTTCAAGAAGGCTTAAGGAGACCCAATACTGCTCATGTTCTAGTTCTTGGACTGAGTGATGATTTCACATTAGTTTGTGCTACTATTCTTTATAATTTACATTTTTTTTTTTTTGGTAAGCATCAAGTACATTTTTAAAGGTAATAGAAAAAACAACTTTACATTAAAACAATCTAAAAGTGAAGCACATACCTTCAACTATACTGGACTTTGCAAGGAATCCTGAAGATGTTTTTAGAGCGCCATTGAATACCACAAAACTTGCACCTGTCACTGATAATGACATAAACAATTATTTATGCTTTAACCTGCTCATTTTATATTATATTTGTTAAATTTAGATTATGGAGCATACACATTCTGAATACTCAATGTATATTAAGCTTATAACACTTAAATTAAAAAATTAAAATATTGTATAAAATAATTTAATGTTTATATCTAATAAATTATAGACTATTGTACTATTTAAAATGTTTATGTTTGTGTTAGTGAGAGTATGGGAAATGAAACCTTCACTACTGGAGAAAACAAAAATTAAAAAAATAGAAGTCTCAATGGAGCATTAGCTTAACAATTATCTATTAAAATTATGAATGTAACCTTTGCCACACTGATTGTACTTCTAGGAATTTACCCTATAGATAGGTTCAACAGTGAACAAAATGGCATGTATAAAAGATTATTCACAGTAGCATTTTTATAAATAGCTGAGGATGGGTAATAATGTATGTCTATCAGTATGGGATAGTTAAATGATGTATACATAAAATGGAAAGTTATGTGGAATGTGAAAGCTCTTTACCAACATAGAATAATCTTCAAGATGTGTTAAGAACAACAAAAAAGCAAGGTGCACAATGGAGCAAATGTTATGGCTTGTCTAAAACAGTGGGAGTTAAGAGATTATATATGTGTGTGTGCATATGTAAGTGTTTGCTTAAATATAGATTAAAACAAAAAATGTCTTTAAAAGGATATATAAGAAACTAATACTGGTTTGATTGCATGTAGGAAGACAAGAGAATGGCTGGGTGGTCAAGGTAAGAGATTTTTTTTCACTACTATTTAAATGTGTATACCTTTTTTGAGTGTTAACACATGAATGTATACCTATTCAACATTAAAAAGTTGTAAATATTTTAATGACAAAAATGTCAATGACATGTTGTTAAAAAGCAAAACGCAAAAGTGTAAAATATACAGTGTAATGCCATCTATGTATTAAAATAAGAAGAAAATATACTTAAAATACCAACAAATGGCCTTGTCTTGGCACTTTTTTCTTTTTCTTTTTTTTTTGGTACTAGGGATTTAAAAATATATGTATATTTTTAGTTGTAGATGGAGACAATACCTTCATTTTATTTATTTGTGGTGCTGAGGAGCAAACCCAGTGCCTCACACACCCACTGAACCACAACCTCAGCCAGGTACTAGGGATTTAACCTGTGGGTGTTTTACCACTGAGCTGTATCCCAGCCCTTTTTATTTTTCATTGAGACAGGGTCTCAAGAAGTTGCTTAGGGCCTTTCAAAGTCACTGAGGCTAGCCTTGAACTTGCGATCCTCAACTTCAGCCTCCTGAGCTCCTAGGACTACAGGTATGTATCTTTTATTACTTTTTAAGATATATTTTCCAAGCTTACTAAAAATGAGTATACATTACCTTTACAGTCATGAGAAAAAAATTTATTAGCAGTCAGAATACCAGATTACTTTAAATATGTTATCCTACAATAATGTATTAATTTTAAGGGATACTATCTTCCATTTTCAATTTGTTAGGTCCTTTACTGCAAGGGTTTGGTAATCACAGCAGTCACTGAGGCCCTTCAGCCAAAGCTGAGTATAATGTCACCCACAGAAGCTGCTCACTCTACCATTTTTATAATTTTTATATCTGCAGCCACTCATAGTTTTATAATTCATTCTTCATTTTTGTCCACTCTATGCTCCCCAAATTATAAGAAATTGGGACAGAGACTGAACCCATGTGAAAAATCACCTCATTCCAGAGAGAAATCACTCATAGACCTCCACCTTATAGGATACACTAAAGAAGATATCAAAAGAAATACAGTCTTCCAAGTCTTTAAACCTAACACAGTTAGAGAGAAAAACACAATTGAGGAGCATTTTTTAAAATCTATTGTTTGTATAGCTGAAATTGTTTAAGTATATGGTTTTATCATCAAATCAGGAAATAAGTAAAATGTGTATATTCCTCCTTTGAAATTAATTGTATTAATTGAGGTATCTTTGCAAATTAGGAATCATGACTCTCACCTTTTCTAGAATGGCCAGTGGCACTACTGGCCTGTGTTTGATAAACACCATCATTCTGTACACAGACTAGATGAGAATCTGCTTCTGTACTAAAACTAGCTCCAATGCTAATGACGTGCTCATTAGAAGAATTTATCACTTTCATTACCTGGGGGGGGGGGGGGTAAGAAACAAACAAACAACATGTGTTCAGAAAAATTTTTTTGAACATTTTATATTGATTCCAGGAGTTGCATTCCTGACCACCTTCATAATTATCAAGCTTTGGTCTGGACAACTCCCTAGAAATATGATAAAAACCAATGTTTTAAAATAAAATTACCTCAATTGTTAGATAAAACAATGAGGGAAAAAAATGGAAAACCAGCATTAAGCAAATTCATTATTAGCAAATAAATTCTAATGTTTCAAGAGCAGTATTCATTGCTATTATATATTAGCCTAATTCAAAACAAAAAAAAATTAATGTGACACAATTCTAATGTTCAAACATTTGTCTTTAAATTTTGAATGAAGCAATTATACTCACATCATTGTATTTTTTCCGAGGTATTTTTATACAGCTTTTTCCCATTTCCATATGAATCAATAGCTGATCTATATTATGCAAGGTATATTGGTAATTTCGAAGGTCCTATGTAAAATAATCACAGTTCCATAAACCTTAAACTATTATCCATTAACATTTACCCATCCATTAAATCCTTTTCTTAGTATCTATTACTTTACGGTTTCTGAGACCTAACTATCAAAATGCCATCCAGGAAGCTAATATAAACTTCAAAAAAAAACAACTAAATCTTTTAGCTATTCCACAACAGTAATAATGAATATCATTCTCAGGAAAAATACTGTAATATTTTGAGTTATCTCCACTTTTTAGTTAGCGATCTTCCAAAACAGAAAAAGTCTTTGCTATGGTTTTTGTAAGTATTCCCCAAAGGCCCATATGTTAGTATTGGCCACTCGCCTGGGGTACTATTGGGAGGTGGTGGTCTATTTGGAAGGAAATTAAGCCATTGGGGGGGCATGTCCTTGAAGGGATACGGGCCCCGGACCCCTTCCTGTTTTCTCTCTTTGCTTCCTGGCCATCATGAGGTGAGCAGGCTTCCTGCGCCAAGCACTCCTGCCACAATGTACTATGTTCCCACAGTCCCAGAGCAATGGGGCCAACTGACCATGGGACAGTTCTGAAACTGTGAGTCAAAATAAACTTTTCTTCCTTATAGCTTGATTATGTCAGATATTTTGCCACAGTAACAGACAGTTATAAACTCAGCCTTCAAATCAGACTTGGACGGACAAAAGTGAATCCGCTAAGTACTTTTCTACGATAACAGGCAAACACAAATTACAAAAATTATAGATAAAAATGAACCTCAGATATCACCTAATCCAACCCTTCTTATTACACATGAGGAAACTAAGGCAATAATTTTCTATAAATCATAAAATTGACTTTTCTAACACTATTTCTAAAGCTTCAACAATTTTGTAAGTCTGTACAGAGATCTCACATTACCTAAAATAAGAACTGCAGAATTAGCCCAAAGGCAATTCAACTCAGGTATGCATAAATTAGGAGATACTATGTTTTTTTAAAAGGGTGACTCATGAAAAACAGAGTCCACTTATGTTAAATGAATTAGGATTTATTATAAAAGAGCTTTCATTATTCTACACAAATTAAAATAGGGAAATATAATTGTGTGAAATTCCCTAAATAAACTTTTAAAGTGACAGTATAAGAACACTTAATAAAACAGGTGAATTACTCACAACAAGTAAGTTCATAATAGTGTGTCCTATTTCTCCAAAAAGAGGTTTTCTGCCTCTGATACTTGTAAGAGGAGTAGGATATGCTACACAAGAGAAAGGAAACTGGTTATCACCAACTAAAAACAAAAATCTTGAGTTTATTACCTTAATTCTCATTTTGAAAACGAATGTTATACATAAATACCATCCAGTCATTGCTCAGAGGAAAGTGAGAAAAGTCACTCACCCTACTGTATATCTACTAGATGGTACACTGAACTGGGAGCTTTACATACATCATCTTATTTAAACCCTACAACAATCCAATGCTTATTTTACATATAAGAAAGATGAGACCTAGAGATTAAAAAACTTGCTCACAGTGACTAAGCTAATTGGTGAAACAGATTTGAAACTAGGCTTGTCTGATTTCAAAGCATTTAATCTTTTCATTATATATTTTCCCCAAATTTGGGAAGGGGTGTTGGAAAACTATATAGCATTTCCCCTGACCTCTATAAAGTTTCAATAATTTAAAGAGATTATATAAAGAATTAAAGACTTTAAAGGCATTTACAATTAATCACTTGTGCTAATTTATGGTAGTAAATGTTTATAGTTCTTGAAGCTGATAATAGAAGCATAAAGAATCATAGAAACCAAGGTAGAAAAGGGAATCAGACATGGGGCCTGTCACCATGCTCTTTAGGGCACTATAGAACTATAGATAGTGAACAGCAAAATAGGAAAGAAAAAAAAAACAACAACAACTAGCTGGCAATGCAGCAAATACCCTGAAGCAAACAAAAGGTGAAAAAGGAAGGCAAGATTATTTCTACAGTGATAAAAAGCAGAAATATTTTTAACTCTCAGTTCGCAGCTTAGGTCATACAGAAACTAACTTCTCTAATATCTCTTATACAAACATACGTCCTTAAACTTCTAAGAAAAGATCACATACCTGACAGTATCTATTTTAAAGACTTAAGTAAGAACAATCACATCTTTGCTAGTACAGACATATTTTCTAACGTTAAAAAAGGAAAATGATATTAAAATGACAACAGAAAAATGCCAATTTTTTACCTCATGATTTTATGAATTGGAAACTGTAAAAAGGTAATTTTATTTAGAACACTATTCTCAACAGGGCTTAGAATGACATTGTGAATGTCACAAAAGGACTTCATGAATCTAATCTTCATGAATCTAATATTTAATGAAATTCCAAATAAGTTTGGTCAACATCAATGTGCAGATAATCCCCATCTTAAAATTACTAATTCAGGTCAGTTATTTTAGCTCGGGGACTTTAACTTTTGTAATTAGCTATTCCACATGTATATTACCTCTATAACAAAATCCACATTCATGTCTAAAGAGGCATAAGCACCATTAATTTCAAAGTGCCAGTTTATCTAAAATCCAGCAAAACATAAATACAGAAAATAGCTGAGTCTAGTTAATTCCCATTGTAATTGATAATTTTCCTTTATCGCCTCTAAACAGCTATTAGAGATTTACAGTTCCAACTCCTCTGATCTTTTGAGAAGTCCCTCATATTGTTCCATGATTTTCCAACCTTCTCTGTGTGAAAACCACTGGCTAAAATACTATTCATACTTACAGATTAAATGTCCTATAATGATTTAAAATGAGCTAGTATAGTGCCTTAATCTTCCATAAAAATAGCATTCAAACATTATGATCAGAAACAAAATATTTGGCTGAATGGAAGAAACACTTGGCTCAGAATGAAATGTCTTAAGCTCTTTGGTTTACACAGAATTAAACTTCAAAGTTAGCTCAGTGGTTCAATCCTCAGCACCATATAAAATATATAAAATAAAGGTATAAAAAATACAAAAACATTTTTAAAAACCTAAAAGTTAAATTATTTTTATGCAAGTTGGTGGAATTATATACTTAAATCCTAAAAGGTAAGGAAACCCTATCTCCAAAATCACAGTTTAATAAAATCTGCCAAATAGAGGAATTTAAATAAATTATCTTTTTCACTTAAATTGCTCATTCTGAAATAGTCATCACTTTTTAAATCTTCCCTATATTTTTCTTCCAAGAAAATGCCTATTAAATTATATTTAGAATCAAATTCCTAAACTTCTACACTTCCAACAAATATATTATCTCTTGAAAAAAAAACAGGGATGAAGATATGAGAATTCAAAAAAGTTTAACACTACAAATGATTCTGAAATCACAGAAATAACTATGTACAACACTTTGATCATCACAATAGCTTTAGAAGTCTTAAGTTGTACCAAAAGCAGATATGTAAATACACAAACATACAGACACACACACACACACACACACACATATACACATATACATACATAAACAATATAAGCTCCTCTTTTGGGTAATAAATGAAATATCAGAAATATAAAAATAAGCATAAAAAATTAAAACATACAAAAAGGGCAACCACTATTTTTAAGTACCAATAAGCAAGTGAATACAATAACAATGATAATCTAAAAATCCTTTGGCTTTATGATATAGACAGATTAAATGAGGTAATAATTCAACTTCTTAATAGGGAAGCGACAAAAACTTTTTTGACAATACATGGTTTTGTTTTGTTTTGTTTTGGGGGAGAGGCCTACAGGGGATTGAACTCAAGGGCACTCACCCAATGAGCCACATCTCCAGCCCTCTTTTGTATTTTATTTAGAGACAGGGTCTTGCTAAGTTGCTTAGGGCCTCGCTGAGTTGCTTAGTGCCTCCCTGTTGCTGAGGCTGGCTTTGAACTTGCGATCCTCCTGCCTCAGCCTCCCAAGTCACTGGGATTATAGGCATGTACCACTGTGCCCAGCAGAAAATACACAGTTTTAAGAAAACTGGGAAGTAATTTTGACAAGATTTTTTTATATTTTGCTTTGAAATTAAAAAAAAAAAAAAAGTACACGGCTATGATTTTTTGAGCATCTAGAAATTTCATGACATACAATGTTGTCCAGATTAACTTGATAGCTTCTAGAGTTTCTAGAAGAGAATTATTTTTGAAATTTAAAAGTACACCAAATTGAAAGTAGTTCTGTTATGCTGTTAAAATTTTATCTTGATGATGTCCCTGAAATTCTTACTGTACATTCTATGTATTTGAAAATATGTAATCTAACTTATTATTCTAAAACTTACCTTTATATTCTGCACCCAATCTCAACATTAAACGCATAGGAAAAACCTTTGCCCAAGGAATCTCTAACTTCTGGATAAGAATTCCAAAGAGAAAAGGATTACTTGGCAATGGGAGATCATCAAGTTTCTGAAAAGTAGGTGTAATAAAAAGAAATCCTCCATGATCCTTGCTATTCAGAAAACTCTCAGTAAAGGTAATGTTGTCCAAGTTTTCTATGTATTTTCCTGGAAATAAAATTATTAATAAAAAGATTTTAAGTTGTTTTATTATTATTTAGGGGACATATTCTGAGTTTGAATGTCATAATATAAATAAACAAAAGGCAATATAGAATTTTTGTCTGTTTGTTTCTACTCTTAAAGAAGCATCTAATAAGCAAATAAGCACCTTCTGTGCACAAAGCTAAGATACTCCTGGAGCTTGGGGACCATAAAAAAAAAATGTGAAAATGTTTCAACCATAATGCCTTTAAATTTTTCTCCTTATTGCATATATGATGTAGATAAATTAAGAGGGGTTAAGAGGGGTTAAATTATCATGCCTCATCCAACCTTGTAAACACAATATGAAAAGTATATAGATAGATTTTTAAAATCAAGGAGGCAAGTATATTTCATTTCTTAAATTTGAAAAAAATCTGTGTATACATAATAATCCCATAAAATGCTAAATTTAAGAAGACTAAAAATGATAATTAAGCTCTTTTAAGAAATTAGCAACCTCTTCAAAAAATAAATCTGTAGTACAGTTAGTATAACCAAAAGCATAAATGCCTTTAACTAATTTATCCATCCCCTACTCTGAATAGTTCAAAATAAAATGCTATACCTTTTAAAGCATCCTTATATATGGTGATGAATAGTCTGAAGATGTCCTTAGGAATTTTATCTTCATTTGGTGTACATAACAACAGAATAATAATTTCTGCCTGTCCCAAGCCATGCAATCCATTGGTTGAAAAGTACCAGTATTTGTCTGAGGAGTCTTGAGTGATAAAAGCATACAACTATGAATGTTAACTTCTACTAACCTAATAAACTAAAAATTATTTTTGCATGAAGCACACCCTTTCAAATTCCTTATTTCCCCCAAATTTTCCTCATAAAAACTTTAAACTGAATTGTGTAAGATTCATGTAAGGAAAGAAAAAGGATTATCTTATGAAGTCAAGTAATAACTCTAAAATAAAAGGTACACAAATATGCAAAAATGCAGTGGCTAAAAACTACATTAATTTCAAAGAGTATGAAAGCTGATAAATAAACTGAGTGTAAGAATAACTTAACACTGAGGATTTTTTTTTTTTAGAGAGAATTTTAATATTTATTTTTTAGTTTTCGGCGGACACAACATCTTTGTTTGTATGTGGTGCTGAGGATCGAACCTGGACGGCATGCATGCCAGGCGAGTGCGCTACCGCTTGAGCCACATCCCCAGCCCCACTGAGGATTATTTACTTCCTTACTTTTAATTAGGTTACATGATACTTGCTTTAAAACCATCTTTATTTCTACTAAATCATGATTCCTGCTTATCTCATTCACAAAATTTCAATTTATCTAAAAGCTATTGGAGATTATCAATTGTATAATAAGCATCAAAATACACCTCACCTATAAGCGCATGATCTTAACCTAGGACAGACTGAGGAAGGCTAGTAAAAATCTGGAAGTTTATATATCAAGCTTCACTGAATATAAATTTATTTATAGTCAGATTTGGCTGAAAAGCCAACATTCAATGTGGCTTATTTTTTACTGTTGCCAGTGAAAATCTAACTTGAAGATGTAATTAGAAATCCTGCTTACCCATAAGGCAAAAATTGATTAATCAATACTTACAAAATACTATTTTGACATTCACGAGCAGATTAGCATTTAGGACAAATGTCACAGGATGAAACCCTTCGCCTTCAAGAAGTAAAATGATCTGCTCATGAGATGGGTGTTCTTCTACTACAGGCACAAAATAATAGAAGTAACATTAATCAGGATAAATATCCTGCTAAATATGTTTATACACACACACACTAAAGGAAAAATGTATAAATCCATCAATGGCCTCATCAAATTTATAAACAAAAGCCAACATGTCCCAGAAAATCAACATCTTGTAAAACTGTTAAATACTAATTTTTAGTTGTCTATGCAATGAAGAAATTAATACTGAAACATATGTCAATCCTATATATTGTATAGCATATGCACAAATGTTGATGAAACAGCATATTTATAAGATTCTAGCACCTTCAAAGTTTTAAAACAAACACCTGTGATGGTACTTTCTTGTTTGTCAATCACTTCAATTCTAATTTCCAAAATTTACAAGTCTGTGAAAGTAGTTTAGACCCAGGTTAAATATGCTATTCATATGCCTGTAGCAGTGATAGGTAACAAAACTTGACAATCAACAGGAAAACATGCACGATATGTACAAAACAGAGCTTCAGGGATTTTTGTCACTACTGCTAAGTTCATGAAATGGTTCCTACAGACAGAACAGAGATACTAAGCGTCATTCTCCTACATTATCATGCAGAGAACCACCATCTCGCATTTCAGGATGCAAAAAAAACAGCTTTGGTGACAGGGTCTATCCTAGGGAACCACTTCAAATGAGAGTTAGCCATAGAATATCCAGCTTGAAAAGGACCTTAAAGAGACTTTTTTTCTTTTACAAAGGAAACTGAGGCCCAAGGAGATGAAATAACATGCTTCAAATCATTCATGTTACAAGTAACAAATGAGAAACTAAAATCCCCAGTTTTGTTGTCCAATATAATACTCTAGTTTTTTTTTTTTTTTTGAGATACAATGCTTCTTTTTTTAAAAATATTTTTTTAGTTCTCAATTGACCTTTATTATTTAATTTATTTATATGTGGTGCTGAGAATCAAACCCAGTGCCTCACACATGCTAGGCAAGCATGTGACCACTGAGTCAAAACCCCGACCCCTACAATGCTTCTTTAAAAATAAAAAAAGAGCAGGACACCCTGATGCATGCCCTATAATCCCAGCCACTTGGGAGGCTGCAGACATGGATCACAAGTTCAAGGCCAGCCTCAGCAATTTTGTGAGGCCCTAAGCAACTTAGTGAGACAGTGTCTCAAAATAAAAAAATAAAAAGGGCCGGGGATCTGACCTAGTGGTAAAATGCCACTGGGTATAATCCCTAGTATTAAAAATAAATAAATAAATAAATAAATAAATAAATATTTTTAAAAAGAATATAAATTTAAAACCTTAATACAATGGAAACATTGCTAAAAGTCTGAATTTCCCTATTGTATTGGATTTTAACTCATTTTAGAGAACTAGATATGATAAATGAATCATAAAAATTCAAATTCTCTAGAATTTTTTACATAAGGCTTGTTGAAAACTAAAGATAACAGCCTACTACACATTTTAATAAAATTAAGTTTTTAAAAAGGTATTTCATACATTGTAGACAAAATTTATCAGTACATTCTTTTTTAAAAAGTATTTTAAAATTTTAAGTAACTGCTATCCTACCTGATCCCTTTTCTCCAGATGTAACCAGAAGTGGAGGCAAACTGTCCTCATCATTAGGTAAAAGACTAATTTTATTGCAAACATACTTTTCAATACCACACAATAATCTATAATCTGAAATACTAGTGACAGGTAAATTGCTATTAACCATGACACTAGGAAGAACAGATGGTTCCTCAATTTCTGCAAAAACATCATCAGCTAGTGCAAAAGAACCAGAAGTAGGTATCCCCTCAGTTCCTGTGTTTACAGGCTGTTTTTCCACAGATGGAACATGAAAAATAGGAGTCCGAATTATTTCTTTTCTTGCAATATCTCCTATCTCACTGTTTGTTTTCTCCAATGTAGAAGAATGGGTATGATCCACTGGGTTTACATTCTGTAAAATATGGGATAAAAATTCAATCAGTTCTTATTCTCTGTTCAACTGTGAAATTCTGATCTTTACAGTCAAACATACAGTTTTAGTAAGAATGAGTACATTCAAATTCTTCTGAAGTAAATTTCTCAAGAAATAGTACCATTTTACTTCTTTAAGTTCAGGAGCATATGATGTTAAGGAACATAAGGACTTAGACTCACAGCATGTTTAGGTGGATATAAGTAACTTATTGACTGGAAAAGTGAGAAAAGAGGTTGAGGATCCTGCACCATATCACATGTAATCAACTTGGTTCAAATCAAAGCTCTCTCATTCTTATGACAATCAACAAAGGCTGGGAAGGTAGGGGAGAAGGAAAATGAGGGAAGGAGGGGAGTGGTCAGGAAGCAGAGTGCTAGATATATTCCATAATAGGATCAATTACAATAAACTATCCATCAAGTCTGCTTCAATAAAAAGATCCTTTCTTTTTAGACTAGCCAGAATCAAGAATCAATATTAAATAAGAATGATTCATGAACTCAAGTGATATGTTCTAGCCATGGAGGACTTCCATTTTGTTGAAAGACTGATAGAGAATAGGTCCTAGATAAGCAACATATTTTTGGTTATCATGCCCATTTGTAAAACCTAGCAAAAGTACTTTTACAACCAAGAGACGTATATTATCTATCTACTATTTAAACAAAGCACATGTGTGTAAATACAAGCATAAATATCACCATCAGACTTTCCTGAATGTGTGTAAACCATTAAATCAATATTAGTCTAAACAAAATTGCTAAATCTTAAGTTACATTTACCTATAACAATGGTTCTCAAAATGTGGTCCAGAGATTCTATAGGTCCCCAATATCTTTCAGGAAGTCGATGAGGACCTAAGATTTTCTTCATATGAAAACAACACAGCACAATACACTGAATGCAGGTATGAGTATCTGTCTTCTATTAAGTCAGATATTAAAGAAATTTGCAAAAATGTAAAACAATGCCACTCTTCTTTCTAAACTGCTTTGGTTTTGAAAGTAAGGTTTTTCATAAAAATAGTATTTCTACTAATGTAATGGGTTTATTATTTTGTAATTAATAAATATCCTTAAATTTTTTCAATTTAATTTAAAATACAGTAATTACCAATAGGTATAAACCACATATCTTAGGGATTCTCAATAACTTTTAAAAGACTACAAAGGGGTCCTAAGTCTAAAATGTTTGAGAACCATTGCCTTAGGCTAACATGAAAAAGGTAAAATCTAAAGCACATTCACTGTTACCTATACAGGCATACCTCAGAGATACTGTAGGTTCAGTTCCAGACCATTGCAATAAAAAATGAGTCACATGAATTTTTTTGTTTCCCAGTGCATATAAAAGTTATGTTTACACTATCCTGTAGTTTATTAAGTGTGTAATAGTATTATATCTTAAAAAAACACAATGTACGTACCTTAATTAAAAAATATTTTATTACTCAAAAACGCTTTGATCATCTGAACTGTTGGAAAAATGGCATTGACAGACTTGTTCCACATGGGGTTGTGGTAACCTTCAAATTGTAAATAACGTAACATCTATGAAGTGTAATGAAGAAACTGCAATAAAATGAGGTATGCCTGTACATTGCTTATTTTAGGAAACTCAAAGCATTCAAAAAATAAGCACTCTAAAAATCACATGAGGAACTATCCAAAAAATAAAATTTTATTTAACGAATAAGTTATTTACACGCCTTACCACAGGCACATCAGGTAAGAGAGGACTAAAGTCTTCAGAGTATCTTTTACTTCCAGATGATAATTTTGTTGTATCTGCAACTTCACCGTTAGGCAATATGCCATCTGCAAACCATACTCTTTTCTGTTCTTTGGAACACAGTCCTAGAATCAGTTGGGAAAACAAATCATTTTAGTCTGGCAATGTTGCAGGGATGTAATACCAAATGGTCAGGAAATGTTTTCAAAGCTTTTTGCTGTCCATTGGCCAGCTCTGCATTCTCAAGGCTACAAAGGCCTCAATAAATGTTTTTTTTTTTTTTTTTTTTTTTTTTTTTGTGTTCATCTATCCTAAGCAGAGTCCTTTTCTACCTAATTCATACAAAAGGAGCATATTAGACTAGATGTGACCCTAGGAATCACATACACTGAAAAGAAGTATATGGAGAGATTACACATTAAAAACACTAGGGGAAGATTTAAAGCATATATTATGGAGTTTGAGTTTGTGAGCATGGAATGGGAACTGAATAAAACTTACCGATTAAGGCACAGGAATGAAAAGTGTAGATCAGAGCATAGCAGATAAGCAAAGGAAAACATATAAAGAACAGAAAGAAATAAATTGGCTAAAAAAGGAAACAGGATCACTTAGGCATACCAGAAAGTCATTTTCTACTTTAATTTCATGAGAGAAGCATAACATTTTTTGTTCTTATGATACGGATACAAAACTTTATTAATTTTTATTACCAATTCCTCTCAAATTTGGAGGGAAATGACTAGAAATCAGCATAAATATTTGTTCTCTTTTATTATAAAGTAGCCACAGAGAAAGGTTATGAAAATTGATGCAAAAGATTTTTTAAAAAATATTTTTATAGTTGTAGATGAATAGAATGCCTTTATTTTGTTTATTTTTATGTGGTGCTAAGGATTGCACCCAGTGCCTCACACATGGTGGGCAAGCGCTCTGCCACTGAGCTAAAGCCCGGCCAATGTCAAAAGATTTTAAACAATATCAAAATACAAAAGTCTACTTTTGTCTACAAAATACAATGTCTACTTTCCAAAACTGAAAACAATTGAATCACATATTTTTGCACTATCAATGGACATACTGAACAATGTATTTTTCTTGCATTTGCAATAGTTTTATAATTTAACAATTCTGATTGCCAATATAAAAATAGGTAAATGTTTTAGACAAATACATTCGTCTTTAGAGCTATAATACGTAATCATATATTTTGAATCTCCTTATTTTGTTTATAATTATAAATACAAAATAGCTACTGAGTGATAAACTAAAATCCAAAATAACTGTCAGAAGTATCCAAATTTACATTTAGTTAACATTTACAGTTATTTTCTAGCATAGTACAGTCTTCATTCCCCAGACTAATGTTTAAACATATACATGGGCTTTACTCAAGATGCTAAATGACAACAGGTTATAAGAAACAAAACAAACAAAACCTCAAACATTTAAAAATATATTGGTAAAAAATTTTATTATTGTGGTAATTTATAAAATTTAAAACATTTTTAAAGAAAAGAAAATATGTCAGGGGACTGGGGCTATAGCTCAGTGACAGAGTAATTGCCTAGCGTGTGTGAGGCACAGGGTTCAATGCTTAGCACTACATAAAAAATAAATAATAATTATTAAAAAATAGAAAAAAAAACGATATGTGAGTTATTGACCAATTGTCTCTAAAACCCAACCCCACCATTCCACAGAGTACTTGTAGATGCTAGGCTGAAAATACGGAAAGTACAATTCCCAATTTCCTTTGCTAGCTAATTGGCTATGGTCAAGTTCTGCCAAAGGTAGGCAGCAGTGGGAAACCAGAGGTGGGAAGAGAAGAAATCCTTTCTATTCTACTTCCTGCCAGGATCCTTGCAGCAGCAGCAGAACTATCACTACCACTGGATATTGCTGTATGTCCCATAACTTTCAGAATTTCTAACATTAACCCTGGAACTCCCCTTCAGTCATCTGAGCACCGACCCTAGGAGGTCCCTTAATGGTTCCAGCATTTGCCACATGGTTTCTCCCCAGAAGTAACAGCCTCAGTGATGTGATGCTCCAACCCCTGACTCCAAGTTCTAAACGCCAAGCTCCTCCTGATGCCCTTGCTCCAAGTTTTAATATTACTCCTCTGGCCCCTTTTGCCCCCTCCAACCCCACTGGTGGTAGCTGCTTGCAATTACTAGTTTCTCAGATGCTTGACCATGCCCTTTTAGTTCCAACATACATGTATAACCAATTCCTATATTAAATTCCTCCTCCTGATATTTAGTCTGGTTTCTATTTTAATAATTTTTCTTTAGTCTAAGAAATAGCATTTTATTCCTGTTACCTTCAATACTTGGTTGTTTAAGTGCTGAGATTGGCAAAGTTGTAGGTGAAGGTATGCTAGATGTTTGGGTCTCTTGAAGAGGCTGGATGGTAGCACATTCATCAGAATGATTAGATTTAAGACTAGAAGCAGTTGGACTCATCATCCTTTCAAATGCCTGAGCTACAAAGAGGAAAGAATAGTATTAAAATCTCAGATGTCTTTAAAGTTCAAAGTAAATTATAATAATAAATATTCAATTTTTTTAAGTTGAAAGGAGAAAGAAATAAATGGCTTATCAAGAAAAAGAAGTGGCACTTGGCAGAAATACTATCTGAGTAACTAGCAAAAGCTCTTTACTTTAGTTGGCAACACTTCACTTTGATAAGGTACCAGTGAATTATTTGATATTTTATTTGGTATATTTTGATATCTACTACGAAAATACTCCTTTTTAAATATGAGTACCTCTCTACTTTTTCCCTTGTACTCTGTGGGTCTATTTCCAATATAGTTAAGAGTCACTCTCTTAACACATAAATCACTAACTCATCACTGCTTGGTTTAAAATTTTTTAATGGCTTCCAAATTGCAGTGAAAATTTAAGTTCCTAAAATGGTTCACAAAATCCTAAATGATCTGCATCCCTACCTATTCTACCTTCCCAGTTAGCTATCTTTCCTAGTTAGACTTCATCTCTCACCACAATCTCACTTGTTCAACAAGTTAAGCAAATATTCCCTCTGTCTAGAATGCTCTCCCCAAAGGTACTCACACAATTTTAGTCTTTCACTTCCTTCAAGTCTCTATTTACATGTCATATTATCATAAAGCCTCACTCTGACCACCTTATAAAAATACTACCTCTTGGCACCAATCTGTTACTATTTATCCCTATTCCACTTTAAATTTCATTTTAAGGTATTATCACCATCTGATATCCCCTTTGTTTACTATGCATATGTACCCACATTCAATATTGTTGAATGATTTTTTTCAATCAAAAAACACAAAGCAGCACTGGTTCAACATTTCTCCAAATCTATCTGCTATAAATGCTGCCACTGTTAAAATAATCTTCCACAAGTGCCACCAAATGTTAGCACTCTTAGAAAATGGCTCTGTTAACCAAGTAAAATTCACATATCGTATACTCTGGGTTTCAAAGTAATTTCCAATTTGCCCCAATCTACCTGATAGCTTTCACACGCACAGGTCCTCAAAACTCATAGAATCTCAACACAACTTTTTTATTATCCACAACCTCGATTCAATCTTTTTCCTTCATTGAATGTTTCTCACAACCCTTCTTTCCCTTTTTATTAGATAACATTATTTACTTCTATCATTTTTAACCCTATGGTAAGTTAACTTTTTAATTCATGCTTTCTTGTAGTATGTAAATTAATAATAGTAGCCCTCTAAATTAAACTATATGCTTATACACTATAAGATATCAAAATACACAAAACTAAATAAACTAATTTCATAATACATTTTTTGATAAATCAGAGTTTGATCTCAATATCTTACTGAATATCTTACATGATTATATGTTCTCCCCTCTTGAACCTTATAGTCAGAATATGTTTTAATTCCTACCTAAAAATCGAACTTGTCAACTCAAATAATACATCAAAAGATCACAGCTGTTTTACTATGTTTTTTTAAGTAGGGGGAGATAATTATGTGGCATCTTGCTCTAAAATTTCTGAATTCTGGCAGATGGCTTTGGTTAACAACATGAGCAGTAGTCTTCTAGACTACTGAAACAGTACAAGAAAAAACAACTGTGAGCACTAAGCCTAACCTCTTCATAAACAATGGTGGTAACATGAAAATATAAAATGATTCATACGCTACTATCTTCCAGAGCACAAGTCAACAGCAGGTAGTAGAGCAGCTTACCTCAGGCTAACAGACTCACATCAGAGCTTTTTGGAGAATTGCTGAAAAAATTTATCTTCATTCAAAAGAGAAAAACAAATTATTATCAGGTATTTATTCTCCTGGCTAATAGGAAGCAGTGCCTGAGCTAGTGCACAGGTCTGGTCAAAAAAAGGCCCAAGTAATATTTGCTGAGAATTAAACTGTCAACATATCTTTGAAAATGCAAGAAGCACTCAAAAGAACAAACATGTATTGGGGGGAAAACACAACATAACATACACATACACAAAACCTGTGAGAACTCAAAGAAGACTATCAAGACTATTGCTGAAAATGGAAGCTAACTAGAGAGCCAGAGAAACAATGGAAAGTGCACATACATAACATTCTAAAATGGAAGGGAAAAAAAAATATATGAGACAAAATGTGTAAACAGCCTGGCACTCCTATGAGTTGATGAAATCATAATTTACTACCTTATCTTTTCTTATTTTAGGTTATTTTTTAAAGGGGGGGAAACTTTTATCTTGCCTTATGCCATTAATAAATAATATTGAATATTATTTATTGGTAGATATAAATGTTTAGATTAAGATGATGAAGATGATGATGATGACAAAAACAAATAGGCAGATGAAATGCAGCATTTAGGGACTTGGTACCTGTTAAAAGTTAATGAACTGCCACTCCAGAAACTGAATGCTTCCTTTCCAGACTGGTAGTATTAATTGTGAGAGTGGAACAAAAAGAAGAGAAACCAAGCCTTGGGATGTCCCACCTAAGCCAGATAATTCAACACTAGGTCCTTGCCTTAAGAAAATAAAGAAGTTTATCTTTGTCACAATCCAATTGTTTTTAAGATATATTCAATTACTGGAGGAAAACATGTCAGGTTAATACTCACCTTTATTAATAGTCTCATAGCAGATTACACACACTCTTGCTTCCTTTTCTAGATACTGCAGTTTACACTTCCTATTACAACAGACACCACAAAATACCTAGGAAGAATAAAACACCATATTTGTTTTTGTTTCAAGAATATATTATATCTACTAGGGACAGGGACAAGGGAGGCCCAAAATCTAATTAACCAATATCCATTTTTCCTATTTGAGAATTCATTTTTCTAATCATCATAATTCTAAATAGAATTAGTTACCTTAAATGAAACTTCTGATTTATAACCATATTTCTGATGAGGAAAATGCCTTTAAATCAACTGTTAATTAGAAAGGGAACAAAAACTTCTTCAATGAATAAGTTTATCATTTGAAAAGCTTTTTTTGGTTCTTTGTTTAAAATTTTTATAAGTAGAACATTATTTTGCTAAAAATGAATAGGGTGATCTGAGACCAACACAATACAGGAAAATGTCAAATAAAAAAATGCTGTATTACTTCTAAGACAAGTTTTTAGACAATCTCTTTATCCTCTGTTGTAAAACAGAACACAAATGAAGTCAGTTTCAGTATTCTGAACCTTGGGTAAGCCAATTTGCCTCTCAGTGTTTCCCTGGGCATCAGTCACAATACTAGCTACAAAGTGGTCTTGAAATTTAGTATTTAAGGACACAGGTGGATCTGACTGAATTTGGAACATATGATGTGTCAATATGAGAAAGGTAAGGACAGTATTCTTAAGTTTCACTAAACTTAGTAATAAGAGTTCCTCATTTCCCAGAATGTAATGAATGCCCATGACAATGTACCATTTGTTCAACTATCAAGCAATCTATAAAATGGCAGGTGCTTTACATATTTCCATAATTGGGAGGTGAAAAACACTGATTTTAAACTAACTCAAGCATGGAGTCACCAGTTAATTAATCTTTTCTGTCATTACATTTCATTTAAAATGTCCCCAAACAATAAAAGACTTGGACTGGGGATATAGCTCAGTGGCAGAATGTTTGACTATCATTAATGAGGCCAAAGACAAAGATTTTTATAACTTACTTTCCCACATGCTCTGCAATGATGTCGCCGTTTTGTAAAAGTAAATTTCACTTGGCAATTCATACAGTTTGGAGCTTCTGAATCAGGAATCCAAGTGGGTTGTTTCTGGCCCAAAACCAAGCCTTCTTTGCAAGTGTTTTCAGGTAGAGAATCTTCATTTGCAGCTATAAAACTAGATCTACCTTCAAAATTACTTTCTATATCAATATAATTAGAGTTGAAATTAACCTGAGGATCAGTTGTAGAATCTATAGTACCAGTATTTGCAGCAATCGTATTTGCTATGCTAGGTTCACTTTCTGGTATATTTGGAACATCTGGCTTGTTCAGTTCCTTTGAACTTTTTATTCTTGATGGAAGGTTAAGCAATTGCTTAGGTCTAGCTCCCCCAACATGAATAGATTGACTGTTGGTATCAGAGACTGGTAATTCATTCATCACCTCAGTCTTACTGATAGGTAACCCTTGTTCAATTGGAATTGTGCCTTTTTCCCCTATAGAAAAGCCACCATTTTCTCTTGTATTTTGTTTATCAACTGCTTCACATATCAAGTTAATGCCATCACTTTTCCCAGTAGCTCCTGCTTCGGCATTGAAATATGTATCACTGGCATTTCCATTATCTAAGCCTTTTACATCTATCTGATTCATTTGAAATTTTAAATCACTTACATTTTCTTCAAAAGATTTTATGTTAGTGGTCTGAAGATACTGTTCTGTCAGAAAGGCATCAAGTTCAGCATCACTAATTAGTGCACCACTTTTCATGCCTTCATCAATATTAAAGTAATCTAAATCTTGCCCATCCATATCATTGCTTGAAAAAGCGAAACCTTCGCAACGATCAGGAGACTCTAGGGCATGAGCACCAGAAAGCTCCATTTGAGATTCAGCAGCTATGGAAGAATTGGTGTTTTCGGGGTAATCCAAAGATTCAACTCTGATTACCATCTGCTCAGATTCTACCTTTCCATCCTCCCTCTTTTCATTTACTGGCTGAAGAAGTATGGTTTTACATTTTTCCTTTTTCAAAAGATCAGTCACCCTGAATGGTTCCCCATCTAGAACAACACTCTTTTGCGTTTCTTCGTGCATAGTCGCTGCATCTTGTATATGGTCTTTAGGTTCATTCTGAGGTAAAGAATCACCATGTGCTTTACTGTCAATTAATGATCCACACAAAGACCCAGACAATGAAAGACAGGATAATGAAGAATGTACACCTTCTCTTGAAACATGTAAAGTTGAAGAGGAATCTTGGATTATATCATTATTATCTGTAAGGTCTAAGTTTTTTGAGTCTATTTTTCTACATTGTTTTATAAACATAGCAGTTTTATCTTCCTGAAAGGAAAAGTCAGGTAATTTGAAATTTTCATCTCTTAAATTTGAGTCATTTAAGCATAAATCTTCATTTTTTAGAAAACTTTTGCAAGGCAAACCACTGGTACTACCTCCTTCTTTTAAACATTCTGTGGCAGTTATGGCTGCCATATCTATCTCCTCTTTTACTAAATAGTCATCATCTTTTAATAATTCACATGGCAGACTCTTGTGTTGCAGGTTATCTTTGGCATCAAACATTTTGGAACTTTGGTGAGTCAAAGCAGGTGACATGTTAAAATCAACAATTGGTTCTAACTGACTAGAGATATTTTTATCCTTTAAATTTTCTGTTTCGCTGTATTTACAAGAATCTGAAAGAACTGTATCTACTTTACCCAATTCTTTGGTTCCACCAGTTTCTCTATTTTGTAATTCAGAGCTGATATTATTCTGTTCTTCTCTGACAGTATCACTAGCATGGTCTGTTGAGGAAACACACAGAGTATCTGAAACTGAAGATGAATCCGATTCAGTCAAAAAATGTGCACTAGACTTATTATCATCTGGCAATAATTTTTTAATATCTTCTTCACTATTAGTTGCATGAACTAAGTTACCCATATCACTTATTAAGTCACAGACAGGTTTACTACATTGTCTCATGTGTAAAGGCTGGGTTTCATCTGAAGTACTACCGTCCACAGAAGAAAGAAGATCAAGTCCTGTTAAATTTTTTTCATTTTGCATACAAGTTAGTCCCTCAAGAGTTTTTCCATTCAAGGAAAGCTCATTTACTTCATGGCATGTTTCTGACGAGGCACAACTACTAATGCAATGTTGGTCCTTTGGCAGCAGTGAAGTTAGCTGGGAAGAAGCCAACTCTGAAGAAACTGAACAATAGTTAGAATCATATGCATTTTTTGCATCTTGAAGATAATCTTCTTCATCTAATCAAAAATAGAAACACAAAGTTATTCAGGAGGCCCTAATCAAATAAATATTATAAGACTCCTAAATGGAATAAACTTTTTATTTAGCTTTCAAGTACTTTCTGTTTTTTTTCTTTTGAATATAAATGTCATAAGGTGACAGAAATTCCACTTAATAATTCAGAGGCATTATAAAAACCAGACTAAGAAAAAGCTGAAAAACAATTTAACTTCTTTATTCTGCCCTCCAATTTCCTGGTCTTAATTCTGAGGAAAATATCATCTTTCACAGTCATGAAATCTCTATTTATATAGCACTTTAAAGCTGCTCTTAGCTTGCTTATATGCTGATTTTTCTTATAGCTAAACTTGTATCTGCAAAGAAACTTCTAGTTTTCTTCCATTCCGACTATTGGCTCCATTCTGTATTAGAATAAACTAATATGTTATAATGAAACAAGTAAACTTTTTATGGAAAAAAACAATGAGACTAAAATTGAAATCAAATTTTGCTACGAGGACTTTATATCTGAAATGACTGAATTACAAAAATTTAAAAATTCCAATAGTGGCAAAAATGGAAAAACAACAAACCTGGGTTCTGTTCAAAATCATCAAGGAGTTTGTCCAAGTCACTGACAGCTGCTTTAAAATAACTGTCCATCCTACCTGTAGACTTATTCAGAATTTAATTCTTGTATATCTAGAAAATAAACAAGTACATTTCATTTAATTTTCTAATATATAAATATTATTCCATCTATTCTATCACATGAAACATGAAATATAAACAAAAATATAATTTCACAATAATCCTTTGAGGAATTTACCCTTTAGGTGGAAAAAATGGTCTCCATATAAAAATGACATGAGCCAGGCCCAATGGCACATGCCTGCAATCCCAGCTGCTCATGAGACTGAGGCAGAAGGATCACAAGTTCCAGGCCAGCCTGAGAAAATTAGTAAGACCCTGTTTCAAAATAAAATTTTAAAAAGGAGTAATAGGTTAGTAATAGTAATGGGTTAGTGCCCTAACAACCCTCCAATGAGTGGGATTGTAGCTCAGTTGATGAGGCCCTGAGTTTAAAACCCAGGACCACCAAAAGAAAAAAAAATAACATGGATATGAAAACCAACTCGTACAATATACAACATGTACAACATAACATTGTACACATAGCTATTATGCATTTTAAAACACTTATCTAAATAATTCACAGGTCAAAGAATTCACAATGAAAACTAATACTTAGAAATACTGCATATCAAATAATACACTACATACAGAGATAAAAAAATAGTCCACAGAAAACTAAAAAGTCAGTTTGTGAAAAGATGAATGAAATGCATGAACCTCTGATCTAAGTCATAAATTCCACCAAATAAGCCTGAGACACTTTGCAGGAATCTATAAATAACTAATGAGATAATACAAAAGAATAAAGAAGCCAAGTCAAAGGGGTTCTCACTGGCTTAAATTGAACATCAAACTGAACAACTTAACATTAAATTAATGAAGACCACAAAGGACTGAAAACAAATCAGACAAAAAAAATAACAATACTAACATAAAAAACACAGCACTCATTGGAGGGCTGTTAGCGTAACCCATTACTATTATTCTACTAACCTATTACCCTGAAAGTTAACAAAGGAAAAGAAGAATTTTTTCTGACCTTTATTTACAAAATATACTTTAGGATAATAAAATACTTTCTGAGGAAAAGCTGTTTAGACAAGAATTCCAGTTCAGAGCAGAAGAATATTAAAAAAAAAAAAAATTTAAATCATCTATTCATGGTCCCTAAGCAATGGCTATCATGAATGTTAAAACCATTAGAGAAAAAGGTTGATGGAGAACTTGAAACTGCTGAGATCATTATGGTTAACATATCTGAATTCAAAGATCAATTTCACCACCAATAAATATGGAAGAGCACATCATATAGAATATATTCCTGTCTAAAGATCTGACACTGAATCTAATCAAACTTTTAGAACTAATTGCATGTTCGCAGGAAATTCAAGCCGAGAAAGAAAAATTAAATGACATAAAAAGAAAGCAATCAGCTTGCTGGGCATGGTGACATACACCTGTAATCCCAGCAAATTGCGAGGCTGAGGTAGGAAGCTGGGGCAGGAGAACTACAAGCTTAAGACCAGTCTCAGCAACTTAGCTAGGTCATATGTAATTTAGCAAGACCCTTTCTCAAAATAAAAAATAAAAAGGCTGGGGATGTAGCTCAGTGGTAAAATGCCTGAGTTAAATTCCCAGTACCAAAAAAGAAAAAGAAAGAAAGAAAATCAGCTAAATTAATCCAGAAGGTGAAATACTTTATTTTTCATATTTTAAAATATATTTGGGATTTTTTTATGTATGTGGTACTGGTGACTGAACCAAGAGGCCTCTACCACTAAGCCATATCCTATGCCCTTTGATTTATTTTTGAGACAGAGTCTAAGTTACTGAGGATTTCCTCAAACTTGCAGTCCTTCTGCCTCTCCCTCCTGAGTTGCTGATCATAGGTTTGCACCACTGCACCTGGCTAAGGCAGAACACTTTACAGCAAAGTTTTTCAAATTGTCCATGATGAATGTTGTTGTTCTTTACATTTCCAAGCTGCTGCAAACTGTTACTCTTGTAACACAAGAAAATTCAACAAATTTTGAATAATAAATACAAACAAAAGGATATAGTTAATTAAACACATGGGAGGTTGCCTGGAGCGGAGAACAGCAGTGGGAAATGAGAGACAAGAGACAAGAATTGAGAGAGCTTTACAAGAACCAGTTATGATTGAGTCCTGTGAACTAAGGACACTTGTGGTCTAGAAAGAGACTTGAAATGTGGGTTAAAAAGATTAGACAGAGTTTAAGAGAATGAAATGAACTGAAAGAACTTTTTGAAGAAATTACCTGAAACACTTTATAAGAGCTAAGGAAGAGATAAAATGAAAAACAAGTTAAAAGACATAGATGAACTGGTAAAGATTGAGCTTAGCATACATGAGGCCCCTAGTACAATTCCAGAATTTAAAAAAAAAATCGAGAGCATGGAAAAACTAACTTTATTAGAAGACTGTAAGAGAAATTTTTCCAGAATTGATGAAAACTCAACAGAACAGATACAGGTAATACATTGAACCAAACAACATAAGTAAAGAGAAATCTACACTTGGACACTATAGTAAACTAGTGAACCTCCAAGGTATAGCAGCCAGGGAGAAAAAATCAATTTCAAAGGAACAATAATATGAGGACAACAAATTTAAAGCAACAGGGACACTTCAAAAGTATTTTCAATAACAATGATATCATACCTTAATTCAATAAAGCATATTATTTGTTTCCATTTTTAAAACTGTGGTTATTCTGTACATACGGAAGAGTTAACAAAACACAGAGACCAAGCCAATTAAAGGGATTTGGAGGAAGAGAGAATGCAGGAGGCCGAGTAATAATTCAAGGAATATTCTCAGAGAAGAGAAAATACAATGCAACTATGAAACAAACAGGAAGCCATAAATAAGGAACATATGGAGAACAAAAAGTGATCAAGGAAATTGACAGCAGAAATCTTAAAATGTAAGAAAGGCTTGCTGGGTGTGCTGGCACAATCTGTAATTCCAGTAACTCAGGAGACGGAGGATTGCATGTTTGAGGTCATCCTCTGCAATTTGTGAGGTCCCATCTCAAAATAACATTAAAAAGGGATGGGGATATACCTCAGTGGTAGAAAACTTGCCTAGCATGTGGGAAATTCTAAGTTCAATCCTCAGTACTGGGTGGGGGAAGGAAAGAGAAACTTTTGGGTTTGTAGTGAAAGCAGTGCTTAAAGAGACGTTAATAGCAATAAATGCATATATTTTTAAAAGAATTAAAACCTGAAATCAATAATCTAATCATCCACTCTGGAAACTAGGGAAAAATAAATAAAAGGAGTCAGGTGCAGCGGTACAATCCTATAATCCCAGTGACACTGGAGGTTGAGGCAGGGAATCACAAGTTTGAAGCCTCGGCAACATAGCGAGGGCCTAAGCAGCTCAGTGAGACCTTGTCTCAAAATTAATAAATAAAAAAAACTGGAGATGTAACTAAGTGGTTAAAGCATCCCTGGGTTCAATCCCCAGTATTTAAACAAAACAAAACAAAAAACAACAGAAATTTCAGCCAAAACCAGCAGAAGAAAAGATAAAAATAAATACAAAAATCAATGAAATTAAAAACAGTATACAGGAAAGCAGTAAGTTAACAGAGAAAACCAATAAAACCAAAACCTTGTTCTCTAAAACGATCAATAAAATTGATACACTAAGATCAAGAAAAAAGAGAAACAAACTATTAACATCAGAAATAAGAGTATATTTATCATTACTGAAGCCATAGACATTAAAAGGAAAATAAAGAATTCTATGAACAACTCTATGCTCATAAACTTGATAATTTAAATAAAATGGATCAATTTCTCAAAAGCACACTTAAAGATAACTCCCAAACCCATGTCTATTTTTAAAAATTAACAATTAATGACCTTCCATAAAATAAATCATCAGGTCCAGATGGATCCATTGGTGAATTTTACTAAACATTTAAGGAAAAAAAATATACTAATTCTCAGTAATTTCTTCCAGAAAAAAAGAATCAAAAGGAACACTTCCAAATTCACTCTATAAGACAGCATTACCCTAAAATCAAAACCAAATAATGATGTCACAAGAAAGGAAAGTTATAGACCAATTTTGCTCATTAACATAGATGCACAAATACTCAACAAAATATTAGAAAATTGTATCTAACAATGTATACAAAAAATTACATAACATGACCAAATAGGATTATTCAGTTATACAAGGTTGATCCAACATTTGAAAATTAATCATTTGTAATCTACTATATCAGCAAATTATCATATAATCATATCAACTGATGCAAAAAGGAAAAAAAACTTAAAAAAAAAAAAAAAAAAAAAACCCAGCACCTGTTCATGATAAAAACTCTCAACCAGGCCGGGTACAGTGGCACATGCCTGTAATCTCCAAGCGGCTCAGGAGGCTGAGACAGGAGGATGCAGAGTTAAGGCAGCCTTAGCAAAAGCAAGGCTAAGTAACTTAGTGAGACACTGTCTCGAAATAAAATACAAAAAAGGGCTGGGGATGTGGCTCAGTAGGCAAGTGCCTCTGAGTTCAATCCCCAGTACCCAAACAACCACAATAAAAACCCTCTCAACCAACTATGGAGTAGAGAACTTCTTCATGTGGATGATCAATATTTACAAGATACCTACAGTTAACTGGATATTTAATTATAAAAACCTGCTTTCCCTCAAAAACTGGGAAAAAGACTTCTCTCACCTCTCTAATTCAACATAATACTAAAAGCCCTAGCTATTGTAATAAGAAATAAAAGCATACTGTTTGGAAAGAAGTAAAACTGAACGTGCATCTCTATATAGTAATGTACAACTAAGAATTGAAGTGCCTAAAAAGATAATAATATAATCCAACAAGTTGTAAAAGATATGGCAATGCAAATACTGTACATTGAGAACTTTTAACATGAAATCTTACTAAACTATATATATTTCCCAAATATATATTCAATCAATCAAAATGTACTTTTTGAGTCAGTAATCTACCACATATAATAAAAGACACAAAATAAATGTAAGATATGCTTCTTGTTTTAAAGAAGTTTATTTAAATAAAGTGTACACATGATAAACTTGTTGGGGCAACAGTTTTACTCACTGAGCCATTTATATACTCTAAGATTATATAATAATTTATGATTATTCAAAAAATTGGTAACAATGTGAAAAATTAATCAGAAAACAGACCAAAAATAAGGAAACTCATTAAAAATGGTAAGGCAAGAAACATGAGGAACTGAACTGAGACAGTGCAGTGAGGATGAAAAAGGAAAGAGAAAAGTGTACAGAATGAGAACTTTTGAAGAGTGAAAACAGGGCAGAAGGTTAGGAATGCTGTCGGGTTTCCATTATGGGTGACTGCACCGATGGTGGAACCACTGAAGATGACAGGCAATACAAGAGGAACAGGATTAAGGGGAACCATGAGTTCACTTTTGGATTGTTGTCAGAAGTACCTTGAGAACATCCTGGGGGAGATATCCAAAAGGCTTTGCATATAAGGATCTGGAATGCAGGAGAGAAGTCTTAGATAAAAATTTGGAAATTGGCAACACACAGTTGTTAATGGATAAGATCACCAAGGAAGAGAATACAGAAAAGGACAGGAGCTTGACATCAGATAACTAAAGATTGTTCATGTTCCCAAAACCACTCTGGATAGTTTTGCCTAGAGTTATATACACTTCTATAGGAAAAATATCCAATATGTCATTGTTAAACAAAAGAAAATCAAGTTTCAAAGCTTTATGTATAATATAAACCCATTTTTACAAATAAGCTGTTTTAAAATGGTATTAACAAAAGCACATAGAAAAAATATAGAGGACAAACATCAAACTGTTATTAATACTAAAAATATGGGGATGGGATTATGTGAACCCTTTAAAGCCACATTATACATCTCTATTTTCCTTTTTAAAATAAACATGTACTTTTCTAAACAGAGAAAAAAGATAATTTCGTTCTTTTCCTTAAAAATTATAGTATGTGTCTTTACAATATAAGAGACAATAAAAATCTGTTAGAAAAACACTTGCACATTGGATTATAAGTGGCAATAACAATCTGTAAGATCATGAAAAAATGTTCAATGAACCATCAAAGTAATGAGAAGTAGAACAAAGGTGACTTGTTGCCTACTAAATTGAAATATAAGTTTTTTTCATAATAGAAGTATTCAGTGTTGGTAAGGATATGATTTTTTTAAAAAAGCATATCAGCCACTTCTGACAGAAAGTAAACTGATAGAATCTCTCAGGAAAACAATGTGACAATAAGTATTAATAGCCTCAAAAGTTTTTCTAATGTTTGATCTAGTAATTATTTAAAAATTTAAAAAAGCAATCTAAACTATTGAAAACATTCAAAGATTATGATCTGTTATTAGTTGAAATAATCTAAATACCAACGTAGGACACAATAGAAAATTACACAGGCACTAGAATCAATCAGACATAACTTTCCTATGTTCACATATGAACACATGACCAATGTAACTCCACATTATATACAACCACAAAAATGGGATGTTATACTCCATGCATGTGTGTCAAAGTGCATTCTATTGTCATATATAATAAAAAATAAAAAATTTTAAAAAGAAAATTATAGAGGCATCAAAAGTAATGTTTATGTGGATCAAAAAAAAAAAGAATTCTATGACCAAGCAATTTCTAGAGAAACACCAGCTCTTGTGCACACATCAATATTGCAAATACTGAGATAATAATTATTTGTATATAATTGAACTGTTATATTCAATTATAACAGTATAAAAGTGAAAACAACCTACTAGTCTGTTAATAACAAGAAAGGTTAAGTTAGACTTTCTCAAACTATAGACTGAGGACTCCTGAAAGATACCAAAAATCTTTTTAAGGGTCTTTAAAGTTCTTCCTTTCCCAACTACGTATCTATCTAGGATAGATTTTCTTCATATGCTTTTACCTAAACAAATTAGCACACCAGACAGAACAGAGAAGCAAACACAAAAATTCAGTGCAGGGCTGGGGCTGTAGCTCAGTGGTAGAGCACTTGCTTCTATGACTGGTTCAATCCCAATTCCAGCACCACAAGGAAACAAATTTTTTTTTTCATATGTTTATAAAGCCAGTGATTTACCTCAATGTAAAATAATTTTCCAGCCCCCCACCTGTAATCTCAGCAACTCAGGAGGTTGAGGCATGAAGATTACAAGTTCAAAGCCACGCTTAACAATTTAGTAAAATCTGACCTCAAAACAAACAAACAAACAAACAAACAAACAGGGTTGGGGATATAACTCAGTGATAGAGCCCCCCAAATTCAATTCATGGAAAAACAATTGATTAATTAATTAATAATAAAACAATTCTATCCTTCTCACTAAATTTTGTTTTGGAAAATAAAGTTTTCAACAAAATTATTTAATGAGTTTAAGGTTATTTTTAAATGAATAAAAAATAAATTTTCTGCATTTTAACTTCCAAAATGGTAAATAAACTGCATTAGGAAATAAAAATTCTTTTGGTCCTCAATAATTTTTAAATGTGATTATCCCCAATCAGTGTTAAATAAACTGTAGTACTATTATCTAACATTATGATTAGAGATAACAATTACATTAGAATTTAGTTTTATCTATAATGTAGTTATTTCAAAAGATTTTCTGCTCATGTATTACTTGCATAATCAGAAAGTCAAAGTCATATTTATGGGGCTTTTTAAGAACACGAGGAAAGCAAGCAATCCAACTGTATACAGATCTCATCATCTTAAATTAAGAAAATGCACAGGAGGGAAAAAGAAAAAAGTCAAGACATTAACAGTGAAGGATTACCTTTATATGGTGGGACTATGATTACTTTTCCTTATTCCTAATAATTTTCAAAATTTTTATCACTATGCAGTTTATTATTCAGACGAGAAAAAAATTAGCGAAAAATTATATGTACTTAGACTGAATCAAACCATTAATCTTCTGCCAACTCAAGAGGCCAAAAGAATAATTTGATCAACAAATTATTTTTTAAATAAAAAATGAACTTAATATCAAAATTATGGGCTGATTTTTATACACTCAAACTAACAGGAACATTCTTAATTTGGAATATAATAATTTGCAATTACTGTAGTACAAATAAGTTAACGGTTAAAAGTAAGGACATCTTTTCAAAGGTACCAAAGATAAGGTCGTGGGGCAGAACAGCATCGCATCCTTGCGGACTACGAGGAGGAGAAAACGCACCGGTGAGGGAATGGACACTGAGGTTCGAGGCGGCTATGACAGATTCCTCTGTCGAGCCCCAGTCTTTTCAGCGTAGAGACCACCACTCCTCGGGAGCCACAGTCGCCTCCTTTAGTCACACCCCCTCCCCTAGCGCGACCAGCGGTGCTTCCCCTACGTCTGCAGGGGCCCAGAGGTCCAAATCCTAGTAGCGCTCAGCACCCGGGCGGCCCGAGTGGGTGGGACCCGGCACCCCACAGCCCTGATGGCCCTCCTAGCCCGGTGTGGTCAGGGCTGGGATTCCCCGGCCAGCTCAGAGGGTTCGGCAAGGAACAGGTCGACAGCCGGGACTCGGTTCCTAGAGGAAGGGGAGGGCCGACCCGATGTCCAAGTCGGCGGGTCCAGCGGCCATCCCACCCTCTCCGCGAGCGCAGCGGGGGTGAGGAGAGACCAAGACGGCCCGTTCTGGGCACTCTTACCTCCCCACCCCCTGCGGAGCTCTCTGGGGACTCGACGCGACGCTGCGCTGAGTAGAGAAGACAGACCCCGGCCGACAGTCCCGGGAGTGCGCGACTCCGGCTCAGAGATTGCCAGTCTTCAGACGAGGGCTAGGCAGAAGGCGCATGCGCAGTGGAGGCTTCCCGCTGCTCACACGCCCCCTCCCTCCGCGTCTGCGGCCTCCGCCGGCCCCAGGCGCCTGCGCGCTGCCACCGGGTCGGAGCTGGGGGCGTCGGACTTCTTACCGGAAGTTCCGAACTACGCCTGGGGCGCCTGCTACGCGGGGAGATTCGGCCCTTCGTCTGGCGGGACTCGGTTTCCCACTAGACGTCCAGGATCCCAGATCCCGAGGCGGCTACCCTTGCCCTTCGCTGACCTACACGCCCCTTTCCCCGCCCGCGTCCGCCTCCTCCTGCAGATCCGCTGGGGCGCCCCGGTTGGTACTGGACAAACCCGCCCGGCAGCTGACCAGGCCTGCCCCCACGCCGCTGGCCTCTCTGAACACCTAACTTTTAAACTTAAAACCCTATTTACAGCATCACCTCCCAGTTTCCCTAACAGAACTGCTCTCCAAACACCCTGAAGTTCCCAGCTCTCCAGTGATCTGGCCCCTCCTTTCGTTGCTTTAGTTCTGCTTTTCTAACAGTGGCGCCTAGAACAGCTGCCTCCCCGTCTAAAAACCAAGGCTAACTTCTCTTATGGTGACAGAAAACGTCGCTTACTCTATCTGTGCCTCTTCTCATTTAAATGAAAAGAGGCATCCGTGTGGGTTCCGGGTTATTACAGACGGGGTGGGATTGGAAATCAGTTGCCAAAAGGATTCAACAGCTCACAATTCTTAGTAGTCTTGCAAGAATTGCAAAAGTATTGGAGTGACGTCCCGACTGTAGGCTCTCCGCCAACTGGGGAGACTCAGGCAGGAAGATCTCAAGTTGGAGAGACCAGCCTTAGCAACTTAACCAGGGCCTAAACAACTTAGTGAGACCCTCTCTCTAAATAAAAAGGGCTGAGGATGTTGCTAAGTGGGTAAGCACCCGTGGGTTCAATCCCCAGTACCAAAACTAAAAGTATTCCACTCATGTGTCATTTGTGGTAAAAGATTTTAGAACCTAAATCTGCAATTTACAACAATAGTGATCTTTGAAAGATACTTAATGTTTCCAGGCAGGTTGTGCTGCCTGTAGTCCTTCCTATTCAGTAGACTGAGGCAGGAGAATCACTTGAACCCAGCGGAGAATTCAAAGCCAAGTTGGGCAACATAGTGAGATACTGTTTTGAAAACAAAAAGAAACCAAACCCTTATTCTCTAATCTTCGTTTTCCTAAACTCTGAAATGGAATTTGTGGTTTTAGTTCAAGAGCAAAACTTCTGATTGCCTAAATCAAAAGCTTGATTTGATTTAGGCATAGCATCTGTTATATGACAGACAATGCGTTAGATGCTTTGTTTACACTATCTTAATCCTAAGAATAATTCTACAAAGTACAGTATGATTTTCTTTACTATGCTTTTCACAGATAAAATGGCACAGACCTTATGGAACCACAACCCAGTAGCAGATATTTATGTAGATGAATTCAGATTAGGGACGGAACTGTTCATAATATAGTACAGTGTGAGTACAAAGAGAATAGAGCTAGAAAAAACACTAACATCTTAAATAAATAAATGGGGAAATATATACATGAATGGTCAAGTCACAAAATACAAAATTCAACTGCCTACCACATACCATATTAATGTGCAAGTTCATTAATAATAACAAAGGAATATTATTCCCCATAAATCTAATTAACAATTTGCTTTAAACTCCATTTGTAAGAGTACAGTGGACACTCATATCCTGGTGGGCTATAAATTGTAACAAAGTAGGACTTGGGAAAGTTACCAAATCATATCAAGAACCTTCTAAATGTTCACATGACCTAATTCAATAATTTTCCTATTGGAAATTATAGATATTTCAGAACACAAAGGTTTATATGGAAAGATATTTACTATGGCAATAGTTATATTTTTAAAACTTGAAATCTCAGCAAGAAGGCTAAGACAGGAGGATTGCAAGTTCAAAGCCAGCTTCTGCAACTTAGCAAGGCCCTAAGTAACTTAGCAAGACCCTGTCTCAAAATAAAAATAATAAAAGGTCTGGGGATGTGGCTCAGCAATTAAGCAGCTCTGGGTTCAATCCCCAGGACTGGGGGGGGGGGGTGCGGGGGGAAGCTTTAAAAGATTCTTGTACACATGATTAAAACTATTAAGACTACATTTATGAAGAATTTCTAGGGCTGAGGATATAACTCAGCAGTAGAGTGCTTGTCAAGTATGTACAAAGCCCTGAGTTCAACATTCAGTATAGCAAAAAGAAAAAGAATTTCTATTGACTTGAGGAAATTACTTCATGAAAAAACACTGAATATCCCAAAATATTTAATATTGCTTTTGTAGTATGTGGTCAGTTATACTCATGCAAATCATGTAAAAGAGTGAAGAAAGTATGCCAAAATGTTGATAGTCATTATGAGTTTCTAATTGGAATATAGATGTTATCACCTTGAACATTCTGAATTTTCTACAATGTATACATATTGACCTTTTATTCTGAAAAAAAATTAATGTGACAGGTATGATAAACTGACCAATGAATCTAAGAATCAGCACCCCTACTATTAAGAGTATGTCTTTAGAGTCAGACTATCTAAATTTGAATTCTAATTTCATCATTTATTAGTAGTTTGACCTAAATTCACTAAGGTCAGATACTTCTATAGTCTGATGGTGATCAAATTAATGCATTGTATGAGATAATCCACATAAAGTGCTTAAGTGGGGCACTTGATATAAATGAATAATTGATATTTTTTTCAGTAAATTAACCCATTATGTTCATGTCAATGTATCAGTATTCAATAAACTTGATGAACTTGACTAATGCACATCAGTTCTTTGGAGCACAATTACCTTCAATAGTATTTAAAAATTGAATTTCTTAGTCTATTAAACCAAGAACAAGAATTGATGACCACTCCACATGGGTGTCACCTTAGCAAAACTTGTAATTTTTTTTTTAAAGAAGAGGTAATGTTTGTCCATATAAAGTTTACAGCCCTTGATTACCCTTTAAATATTTAATATAAAACTTTAATTTTGGAACTATCAAAAGCAAATTGCAATATTTTAGTAGATTTTTAGAGGTAAAATAAACCTTTCTAGTTATGCCTTGGAAGATTATTTAATTTGGGTTCCACGGAACTTCTGATCTGTAGAGTAATAAAAACAAGAAGTGAAATCAACCAACTAGCCAAACTTTAAATCAACAACTATTAATTTAACCCAGGAGTTGTCAGTTATGGTGATGGGAGTTGACTTGGTCTCCTAGAGGGCATTTGACAACATCTGGAAGTTTTTTGATTGTTACAACTGGGAGAATGCTACTAACATCTAGTAAGTAGAGTTCAGAGATGCTGTTAAATGTCTTACAATGCATAGGATGACACCCAACTGTCACCATCTAACTGAACTGGCTACCTATGCTGGGTTCACAAAATCTGACTACATCAATAACTGAGAAAATGGCGAAGAAAGCATGCAAACACATAAAAATACCTTTTCAAAATCTGGGATGGCTCTTGTGACTTTATGGGTCTGTTGGAAAGAGAGCAAGCCACTAGAATTCTTTATTTATATAGAGGGCACACAAGGGGAGATTGGATGGGACATTCTGTCCAATAATAATAATAATAAGAAGAAGAAGAAGAAGAAGAAGAGAAGTAGTAGTAGTAGTAGTAGTAGTAGTAGTAGTAGTAGTAGTAGTATTACAAAGGAACAAGTAGGCAGCCCACTCCATTGATTAATGACCTCATCCGTTGAGCTGAGATGGGGAGCTACCTGCTTTCACGCAGGGAAGCCAGTCTGCACATTTCCATCACTCAAAGCTAGTGGGCACTAAGCTCCTGTGCGGCAGCTCCCGACACCCAATAACAAAGAATTTTCCAGCCTAAAATATCAATATTGCCAATGTTGAGAAACTCTGATTTTAACCAACAAGTAGTTTTAGTTCTTATAGTTCCTTATAATTCTTGGTAAACAGTTCTCTTTTTCTTTGATGGACACAAACACAAACATGGGTTTAGAAACTCAGGAGTAGGTTTGAACTCTTGCATAAGTCTGTATTGATGCAATTAAACTTTGTACCAAGCAGTACACAAAGCAAGTTATTAGAAGAAATCTACAATGACAAGTTTTACGGATCAAACATCTGATCAATTGAACTCTCACAATGCTTTATACCTATGGTTTAGTTTCACCAGATATACACAATCTCTTCTTACCAAGAACCACTTTATAAATAGCTGTAAACTATTGACCCCTGACTACTTTTTAGCCCTTATCTAATAAGTAAAATGGTCAGTCCTGAGTATGAAATTCTTACTCATCTGTGAAGAAACCTGGAGTTCAGAAATTCTTCTTGCTGGTATAACTACTTTGTTAAGCACAGCAACACTTACTTGTGGAGGCCTTTATCATAACAGCACACTGAAGAACACACTTTCTGTCAATAGACTGTTTTCCTCTTGTGTAAGTGCTATAATTTAGTATTGGTTGTTGGGAGAGCTGCTTTTCATTTTTTAAAGGAAAATTACAATCGTGGTATCTACAAGAAAATCACTGTAGGTCCTTGGATGTAACTCAGTACTGCATTTTCTTAAAGTTCTAAAAACCAAAAAGCTCAGAAAGCCAAAATTTCTTTCTCAGTACATGTAAAAATCTGTGACAAAGAAACAATAAGTCAAGTGACACAAAGATTTATTAATAACTCTTACAAAGCTTTTGAACTTTTGACACCAACAGTGAGAGAGAGAGAGAGAGAGAATGAATGCTCCTTTCAATATACTTGTTTCCTAAAAACAGTATGCACATTTCAAGATCCTGCAATGCTTTTGAACTAACTAACAAAGAAAGAAAGTTGCATGAATTTTTAGAGTTAAATTGTGTCTTATTATATTAAGGTGATTTCCTTAACCATTTTAATAAATGAAAATTTATTCAATTAACCTGGTCTAGCTCCTCTCTACATGTATACTAAATAAACAAAACAAAAAGAGGGGCTGGAGATATAACTCAGGGATAGTGTTCTT